GAGAAATATTAAATAAAGCTGCATGTTGAACAAAATAACTTTTAGGCAAACTGCAAGCTCTGCAGGTGATTTTATCTTGAATCCAGGCTTAGGGAGCTCATTTCATGGAGTTTTTAGTGGAATTATCTTACTGCACTGGTAGATAATGCTGCTGGGTTTGATAAAAAATTTTATTTGATGCATGCCAGTATGAGAAATAAGGAATGTAATCTTTGAAGGGGAGGATTTCACTTGTACCTGGTAGATGTTTTGAACTCAGGCTTAATTTTAATCTTGTTGGTGGCTGTGATTGATGTGCAGTGCAGTGTGAAGGAAAACTAGACAGAGAGACATCGCAGTGAAGAATAAAAAAAAATAAAATAAAAAAAAAACTCCAGCACCAATGAACGCAATGCAGTGGATCAGAGGTTTACAGTGCTTCCACTACAATTTCTCTCTCACAGGCAAATTGATGGCTGAGTGAACGAAGCACGTTAGTATCTATTGGTGTTAATATGAAGCAGTGGAGAGGAAACAACAGTCCACTTAGGCTGCAGGAGCTGAATTTCCTCTAGAAATATTTCATGCGGCTGAATCATAACTCCATACACAGATTTTAAATTACTTTTAGCACTCTTACAAATGATCACATACAGCAGATACACTCAAGCAAACACACAGCAATGTTTTGTTAATAGGCTCCAACAAGTTAAGTAACCCACTTCACTTTAAACCACTTCATTTATCCTTTACATGCAGTATAAAAACATGCAATAAAGTGTAAGTAATACATTTGAATGTAGCCGATATAAGCACATTTTAAGTGTTTATTAAATGTACAGTATTATAACTTATCCTTTGTTATATTATATTTTCATTCCTTATCTGTTTATATACAGATAATCAATAGACACTTAAAATATAATACAACTGTTTATGTGCTGCTTTTAAATGCTAAATATGGGAGGTTAAAATAAAGTGCTACAAGTAAAATAACATGCAGGAACAGTATAGATTAGAAACCAAACGATTAATCAAATAATTGATTAAAAAATAGACAGATTAATTGATAATGAAAATCATTTAGTTGCAGTCCCAGACCACAGAAAAGCTGTTACTTCAGAAAACTATCAAAACTGAATTTTGAAAATTTTTTGCTGTTCATTTTCTCAATCAGAACAGTTAATCAATTTATTTGCTTTATTCATATTATTTATACCAAACTCAAAACTTGGTTAGAATAGCTATGTACGCTATGTACAGTACACAGCTGGGACACAGCTGTAAACTCGCGACCTAACGAGCTGATGGTCACCTGAGACTCCAGGTGAATCCATTTCGACTAATGAGCTGGGAGCGCGAGGAGCCGTCCGGTTTGTCCCGCATGGAGAATTACGAGGAGGCGAACTCCGTCGACAAACTCTGACCGTGACCTTCATGGAAAACATTATTTTATAATAAGCGCTTAAGTCGGTTTATTTCTACCATTTAAAACCTGCACCTGCAGCGTCACGCCGATTCGGTGGCGCGCACCGAGGGGAGGCGCTGTCCAAGAAGTAGTGTCCTCCACGGAGCGTCTCTTCACTTCCCACAGCGTGAATGTGTCGAGGTGATGTTTTACGGCCGTTCAAACAGGTGAATATTCTCTTTTGCATCCAAACATGTCACCTGATTATTATTGGCAGTTAAAAAGTAATAATTCATGTTACTGAAGCGATACAGTGAATTTGTCAGGTGTGAAAGATGGTTGTATTTCCGCTGTTATTAGATAAAGACAACAACAAACATGTCATTTTTTTTTAAAAGCTAAAGATATTCAATTGATGACAGAGAAATGTAATAAGTACATCATTATTTTCATCCCCATTAGTTGTTACCATGGTAATAGCTGCTTTTCCTGGGGTCCTTATGAACATATAAGCAGTATAATCAACAAATGTCCAATCCTATACACACAATACAAGCAATGATATGACATACAAACTAAACAAATGAGAGTAAAACATGTAAATAATATAAATAATCTCTTATGTGTTTGTTTTTTGATTTTATTTTTTACCAAATTCTTGAATGAAGTTTGGCAGACTGTTCCTTTGAGGCATGGCTCCATGCTGTTAATTCACTGCATTGAAAATAGGCAGTTTTTAGCTGTGGTTGTTAAAGTACTCTGGTTTTTTTTTTAAATATAATTTAAAGAACAAAATAGAGATCAATAAGAGATAAAAAACGTTTCATCAGTTATCAGAATTATCTGGCAACCGATTAAACCTTCAGCACCACTCTAACTAAGCAGTCTCCTGGCAGTGAAGGCAGCAACAATGCTAAAACTTGAAGTGAATTATAATGACTTTACAAGAATGATGACGATGACGAGATGACTGACATCCCTGGAGATCAAACCGTTGACTTTGTGCTTCATTGATTGGTTAAGTCGGCTGAGGCTGGCTCAGAAACTTGAGAGGGGATTATTTCTGTGCTGCTGCCAGCCTCTTCACTGAGCCTGGCTTACACTCGCTTTTGAAATTTCAAACCAAAAAGAAACTTTCATTGTGTAGCTTTGAACTGGATGTATTAGACGTTGTCATGGGGGTCTTGCTGATGTTAAAATACATCACCTTTCTTCTGCAAACATTGGAAAATAAGAAGTCTCTTCCCGCTCGTCCTCTGTTATGAACTGGTCATCAACTTTCTCCCCACTCGCTGCTTTGTAGCTGGTGGAGGATTTACTGTCGTGGAAGTGCTGCTGATGCTGCAGCGACACAGATTTATTCCTCCGTCCTGCCCTCTGTCACTTCACTAAGCCGCTCCCACTGACCCATATAGGGGTGTTTCTATCACCCGTGGAGCATCAGCATGTGATTATCAGCTGACGGCACTGGAAGGCTTTATTATGCCGCCATCAACGTGCGTGCGCCTGGTTTAATTTCGTCCATTTTCATGTGACGAGTGTGTGTGTGCGTTTGTGGATGTTAATGATTAGCATATGCATTTATGCACCTTTTGTGTTGTGCTGTTGTGTTTGTGCATATGTGAGAAGAAGATGGTGCAAGGATTGGTTGTGTGTGCATATATATACATGTATATATACACATATGTGTGTGTGTGTGTGTGGGAGGCAGAGTCAGTGAACTAAATAAAATGCCTCCTCTTCCCTAGCTGAGTGATTTTCATCCTGCAGTGCTGATAAGTGGCCTAATACATCGCTTAAATCCTTATTCCCAGTTATCCTGCAGATCCAACATAATCCCAGATTACATGAGGGAGATAAGCAATAGATGGATATACAAGATTAGGCTATTACTGATCAGTGGCACTCGTAGCTTAGGTAGTGAAACCTGGTGGGCAGTCAAAAGACAAACGTAAGCTGCGAGATGAGCTATTTTTTTTCCTGGAATTGATAAAAAACAAAATTGCAACATCACCAGTGATAGATGAGAGTGGAAAGTATCTGTGTGATAGTGCAGGGATTCTCAGTCAGGATGTGGAGAGATTGTGGATTAGCACAATTTATTTGAAAAAACAGTAATTTGCTTTAAAATATGTTTTCGACATCAACATCTGAACACCAGCGAGCGAGCGGATAAATCTTAACAGCTAAAAGAAACGGCTGTTATAGATAGTAATGAATTACCAATTCAAATGTAATGATTCCAGATAAACAGCTGAAATAGTTAAGTAGCCTAAAGGTAACGTTAACTGATAAATTAAGTGAAAAAATAAAAGATAAGTAGTTGAAATGGTTAGCTAAATCAAAGCTAATGGATGGATGAAAAACGGGTAAAGGGTTGAAGTAGATGACAAAAAGTAATGGATAAACAATCGAGATAGCAAAAGTATTGGATAACTGGTTAAAATAGATTAAAAAGCTGTTGAAACAGCTATCTTAACAGTAATGGATATGGATAAAAGATGGACAAACATGGATGAAATAGCTACAATGGTTAAATGTTCAAAATAGTTAGCTAATTCAATCTGAATTCTGCCTTTCCAGCGGTCGTAGAAAGCAAATTTGACCAACCTCAACATTGAGAATTGTATGAAAGCATGAAATAGCATGATCATTCATATATTTAACGCTGTTAAGTAACATCTAGTTTAAAATCAAACCACCTCCACCACTCAAAACATGAGTCTCTGACATCTCTGGCACATTTTAAGCAACTAGTGGCTCAAGCATCATCTAACTCAAAGGTCACAATTTCAGTTTGTGTCCTTCACTGCCGAAGAGCCCTCGAGAAAGGCACTCAGTTCCAGATTCAATGAGATCGTGTCACAACAAGAGCACATTTTTATTTTCTTCCAAGGGAGTGTTCTTGGCGATAAGAGACTAGAGTTTCAACCTTGTTCACAACAAAATGCAAATCAAGGAAAGAGAGCTGCAGAAGCTGGAGCTCCATCATCACCAGCTTTAAGTGCAAATTGTGTGCTTCAGCTGTTAGACTGACCCCCCCAACCCCCCGCCCTAAAGCCTCTTTATAATTGGAGCGCTTTTTGAACTGATGTGCTCTGAGATTGGAGGATGGAAAAACCCTCTGCTCGGCTTGTTTGACTTGCTGATGACGACGCCCGCAGCAGACTCTTGAGTGACCAGAGTCTTTGTGCGTTTTATAAGCACAACACAACAGTTGGGATGAGTAGGCATTGTGAAATGCAGTGTTTGGCACAATCTTGATTTGCATGGCCTCAGCTAAATAATGAGATGCACATATGATTTATGTCTGACCATGACGAACAGAATGAGGCTGTGCCCAGTACTTACTGATCTTGTGTGGCTTTCTTTCACAGTTAATTATTACTTGGTCCTTCTGCTGATGAACCACACTGTAAGAAAGGTCTTAGAAAGTCTTAAGTTTAACTCAGTGAACCCTGCATTTAAACGCTTTTTTTTTTTTTTTTTTTTTACATACTTGTATTTTAAGTTATGGTTATATTGATTATTATCTTATGCATGCAATATGTCATTGTACTCCTGTTTTGAAAAAGTGCAGTGTGAATATTTTTGTAATCTCTTTTACCTGCAGGGCTCCACAGCTCATATGCCGGTCATGCGGGGCAGATAGACCCAGAGCTGAGGGCAGCATTGTCCCCGGACTGCCACATGACGCCTGTTTTCGATGAACGATCCTTCCACAGCCCCCTGTACCACAGCCCCACCCATGACCCCCAGGGTACCCTCTACAGGACAAACACAGGTACTGCACCCACGCTAAAGTTCCCATAGCAAGCAACTAAACAAGTCTCATTTAAATCTATTATGTAAAATTGAATAAGTTATATTACCAGCAAGCAGGTATTTTAAGAAATTAGGCAACATTTTATGAGAACTGATTTTTTTTTTTTTTTTTAACAATAAAAAAAGAAAACAAATATATATATATATATATATAATATAATATAATATGTCCTTAGCATAGATACTAACAGAGGTACTAGTGGTGCAGCAGAAGTCGTGGTAGAGGTTGTGGCAAGAGCAGAATTAGGAGCAAATCATTACAAGTGACTGTGCAGTTTCCCTCACATGACTTTTAGTTGCCTCATTATCATCACAGAGAATTACTCAAACAACCCAATTTTTCACGGCAGCGACCCCCCGAGGAGCCCTGGTCCCCAGGTTGAGAAGCCGGGCTCAGTTTCACATTTGCTTAGGAGATTATTTCTCTAAAATCTGCGGTGGAAATCAGGGTTTACAGGGACAGGAACTGTTGTTATTATCACTCCCCGAGGTCAGAACTTAATTAGGCTGAAACCTTTCATGTACTCCGCTGCTTCTTAATTGAAGCCTTTGCAGAATCATTTCAGGCTGAAAGCTCTGCGGAGTTTGATAGTGGAGGATCTAAGAAGCCATTTTAGTTTCGTTTAGTGAAGATTTAAGCAGGTTTGGCCTGTGAGAGAGCTCCTGCATGTTTAATTACTCATATAACATGATATTACTTTCCCTTTTATCTGACCTTAGATGTTTTTTTTTTTAAATATAAACAGCCGCCAGTCTTGATTGTGCATCTCTGGACCGCTGTGATTAAATATTTTCAAAATTATGTCGTGATTTACTTTCTTTAGGTATGGGGACTCTCCCTCGGACCACAAGCCATTGCGGCACGCTGCCATACCAAAGAAGCAGCTATGGGCTGAGCTCTGCAGCTCTGTACGTCGACTCCTACAGGGTCTCCGGCGAGCCCGTCTACTCCCACCGGCACTCGGGACTGGTGGACCGGGTCGCTACACGCACCCCGTCCATCGAGAGCATACACAAGGACCCCAGGTACACATACACATACACACACACACACACACACACACACACACACACACACACACACACACACACACACACACACACACACATTATTTCAGATTGAAGTCTGCTGAAACCTCCCTCTTTGTCCCTCCTCAGGGAGTTTGCTTGGCGTGACCCCGAGCTGCCGGAGGTCATCCACATGCTGCAGCATCACTTCCCCTCTGTCCAGGCCAACGCCGCCGCCTACCTGCAGCACCTGTGTTACGGAGACAACAGGGTCAAGGTGGAGGTAAGGTGATGGCACACACTGGGAAGCTGTCTGGGTAAAAATAACAAGGTGGACGTCACAATCATGACTCACTCACAGGTGGAGTTCATTCAAAGGTTTCTCTCCTGAACAAATACAGTGTGTATATATATATATATATATATTCATCTTTCCTGAAGAAAACATGAGACAAAGCCATTTCCTCACAGAGCGCAGCCAAGAATTAGAGAAATGTAAAATTTCAACACAAGAACCAGAGAAGACAGTGAGACGTTTTCTTTTATTTGCAGTGTAAAATCCTATTGTATCTGTATACTCTGTCTAAGAGTGTGTTCTCAGCTTACAGGGTTTGAAATTTTCCCCCTTTTTTTTTTTTGAGATCTTTGCTGCCAATCTCTGAGCCAAAGCACCATCTGCTCCAACAAAACTTTAAGTAACATTGGTGCCAAATGTGCCGGCGCTCCGACATGCTGAAGTGCTGCATGCTCACTCTTTGCTCTGCTTCCCGTGCAATAAATAACTCCAACACAATGGTGCAGCTTCACACAAGAGCCATTTTAGTGCCGTTTGGTTTGTCTGGTGATGAGCTTTTAATTAGCCTTTGAAGCAGCCTGGACACACGCCTGCTCATTTAGCCAGAAACGAATGTTTTCAGTGACGGTTTGAAGACAGAATCAGAGAGGAATGGGGGGTGTCTTCTGCTCTCCTGAGATCAGTTTATTTCAAGATGTCACAAGAAAGTTTTGAACATAATCAGTGACGCTTTGTGCAGGATTTTTTTCTTTTTAAATTGTTTAATTTACATTTTTTTGTAAAGTCACATCTCAAAACGGAAAATCTTAATAAATTTGCTGTAATAGTTTCGTTTTTCATGATATCTATTGTTTTAATGTGTTAGATATTTAACGGAATATTTTAGACCTTCCACTGATTCTGTCAACCATAATCACTTGAAACAAACCACAAGATAAGTAGTTTTTTCAAAGCAAAGTCATAAGCCAATAGTTCAAAAAATACCCAATAAAAATGCAAATTAAATTTCTTTTTATTACATGTTAATGTATAACAGGTGTATTTGTACGATAGTAGTGGTACAGCAGTCAGTTAATCACAGACAACAAAAACTAACAAAATTGCAAACAAAACTGGGGAAATAGCAAAAATGTAAAATGAAAAACAGATCAACAAAGGGCAGAAATAAGTTGAACAATTAATAAAAAGGGAGTAATTGAATAAACAATTAAAAAAGGAAACAGATATGCTCATTGTGGGAAAAAAACTGAACACACTGCACTGAAGGTGACCTGTGAATTTCAAGCATTAGAGTCAAAATACGATTTGTCACAGTGACACTTATCCCTTTGAATTTGAAAGACATAAATCCAAAACTCACTCAGACTGCACGGAAAATGCATTTTTTTCATTCCTCTCTTATGATTAAATTTCTTTTCTGTGATGTGAAATTGGAGGAGGGAAGGCTCTTTGCTTTGTGTGTCAGCCTGTCTGCAGCGTTTGGTCCTCAGCCAATAGCAGCTGACCAGGAAGGACAAACTGATTCAAAGCTCCTCTCTGTGGATCTCATACAGAAATGCTTCAGTAATTGGGAGAGAAGATTTTATTGTAGGGAATAATTGGACGCAACTTTGATTTTCAAGATTTTACACAGAAATAACTTAAATGCAAAGTTGATGAAGTTAAACTGTCTATGCTAATGATGATGACAGGAGGTTTTAAGGAGGCCTGTAGTTCATCCATCTCTGTGACTGCTGCCTGGTCTGCAGGTGTGTCACCTGGGAGGCATCCAGCACCTGGTAGACCTGCTAGATCACAAGGTGGCAGAGGTTCAGAAGAGCGCCTGCGGGGCCCTGAGGAACCTGGTGTATGGCAAGGCCACCGACAGCAACAAGGTGGCGCTGAGGAACTGCGGCGGCGTTCCCGCTCTGCTGCGTCTCCTCAGGAAAACAACCGACAACGAAGTCCGTGAGCTGGTCACTGGTACGTCTCGGTTTTACTCAGCAGAAATCATTGTATGTCCTACCACATCAAACATTTGCAAAGCCACAATTGTCCATGGGAGACCAGTAAATACAATAAATGCAATTTAATGGCAGTTTGTCAATGACAAAACACATGAAAATGCCAAAAACATTAACCAAGAAAAGAAAAACAATTACAAAGCACTCAGAGAGCGAGTGTTGCTGCCAAGGCTGCACAACAGTCTGAATTAGTAATTCTAATAGTAATAATGATAATATGTAGACGTGAATATAATTTTCTTTCAAGTCAGGCCCATCTTTTTTATTCCTGGGGGGTAAATGCAGTGGAAAGCAGCATCCACATTGTCAAAAACAGTTTCCAAATGCAAAACGTGACGCATCAAAATCCTGCTGTGTTGAGTGTGTGTGGGCGTTTGCCTGCTAGCGAGGTTCGTTGGCGTCCTGGCCAGCCGGCCGGCCGGCTTGCTGGCTGAGCGTTGGTGTGTGTCGCCGTCTGACTTGCTGGAAGTGTATTAATCTGTGTATCGGCTGTTCTGTGGGAGGTGAGAGCGGCTGCGGCTTAAACACTCAGCGCGCAGTGTTGACAGAACAGATCTCGGCACAGTCCTCGGGACAGATGCTAAGATAATGTGCTTTGGAAACAGGACACTGACAGCTCTGCAGCCACGCCACACATACTGTTTAATACCAGGAGATATGAAGCTGCTAGACGCCTCAGATTCTCAAACACATGAGAAGCCTGACTCTGTTCTAGAGCTGTGGGAAAGTTTCTATTTTTACTGCTCAGGTCAGGATTTTAAAGCTGTACTTCAATGATCTTGATCGATCATATCCAGATTCAGAAATATACACACACAGCACTTTGTTTTTACCCATTTTCAAAGATAAAGAAAACACAAAAACAACAAGCAACAAGCTGCTTCCTGCCTGGAGAGCATGAAGTCTTTCCTTATTGAGTGTAGTAGCAATGCATCATTCCTGCATTTTGTCATGTTCATCACATATTCATCCCAGTTTGTATCGAAGGGAAGGGTCACTACTTCAATAGTTTTCTACATAAGTGAAGAAAAAATACATAAAGGAATAAATTAAAAGGAAATGTGTTGGGCTTGTTCACAGTCCCTATAATTAAAATAAGAGAAACAGTATTAAAAGGATTTTGGGAAATTTGGGAAAACATAAACAAAATAAAAGGTGCTAATTGAGAAGCTTTCATCATCTTACTCTTTTCTCATCTTACTGAGAAATCAAATCAACATATTTCCTTAATTGTCAAATGATTCCTTTCACAACGCAGTTAGGAAGATAATGTTTCTTGGTTCCCTCCACCCACAGGTGTCCTGTGGAACCTGTCCTCGTGTGACGCGGTGAAGATGACCATCATCCGCGACGCTCTCACCACACTGACCAACACGGTCGTCATCCCCCACTCGGGCTGGAGCAGCGTCTCGCACCGCGAAGAACACAAAGTCAAGTTCCAGTCCTCCCTGCTGCTGCGCAACACCACCGGCTGCCTGAGGTGAGGAAGGAATCAAACGCACCCCTCACTGATGAGTTCTCAGAAGAGTTTTATATGATGTTAAAGAGTCTGTTGTTTTTACTTTTTCAGAATAGATATTTAACATTTTAAAAAAGAAATCTCCAATCATCAGTACTGTCATTATTGTAGTTATTGATCAAAGCACATAATATCTTTGATGAGCATGCTTATGCATATTAATCACCGCACTGCTTCACATTTCCACAACTCTACAGTCAGATCTGTCCCTATTCAATATCCATCTATTCTCCTTTCTTAATGAAAATAGATTGAACAAAGTCCTCTGCCTCCTAAGCCTGTTGAGTTTCCAGGCGTGCCGTTAGCTCATTAAATCGATTCTTGCTTTGAAATGCAAGGATGACTTTTGGATTTATTGGTCGTTGGTGCTGCTGTTTTTCTGTCTGCTCTTCATCTTAATGATTCTGTAAAACCAAAGCACATAATCACTGTTGCATAATCCATCAATAAGAGGCTCTGTAATGGAGATTTTATGCAGGCATGAAGTCAACAGAGGCAAATACCAGCAAAGTGATATCTTTTTTTAACAATCAAAGCTCAGGATGAAGGTTTAGATTTATTATGTGTAGTAGTTACTCAGTTCTTGGCGCATTTGAAAGATGAAATTTGAAATAGAACCTTGTTTAATCTCATACAACTCATCTAGAGACCAAGATCTTCATGATGTTTTGTAAATAACTGATGTTAGCTTAAAGTTGCATGTGGCAAAATCACGCACTGGAGGCTTCAGAGTGACGGGAAGAAAACATTTCAGCTGCAAATTCTCACATTTAAGAGGCTAAAACCAACAAATTTTTGACATTTTTACTTGGAAAGTGGCTGAAACGATAAATTGATTATCAAAATATAAACCGATTTAATTTTCTTTCAATTGGCTAATCTCATAATCCCACGTGATGTGAACGTGGCATCAGGAAGCCAAACCTGACACCAGATTTTATTTTGTCAGGGAAACAAAGAATCAAGTCATGGAAATGCAGTGTTGTATTGCTTGACAACAGCATCTAGTGAGTGAATTTGACAGCTGTTCTTCAGTTTTAGACTCTGATTGTGCTACAGCTCCTCTGAATTAAACCTGCTGAGCGCAGCCTTCCCAGTTAAATGAGAAGATAGCTGCCATCATTCTTCAGTGTCAGGAGCCAATCAGGACCAGGTCCAGGTGTGATGACAGAAGTAGGTTTATGAGAGCAGCTATTTGAAAATGCAACAACCTTGATTTTAACTACAAACTAAATACATTTTTAACAATTTTATTTTACATTTTTGTTCACATTTGTTGTGATCATCCATTTCCTTTAACAGGGCAGCTTTAAAACAACATCTCTGTACACACAAGCCTCCAGCGTTGCTCTGCACTCTGGCTGAGGCTGTAGATTGATGGTATAGAGATGCATTATGGGAGCTCAGTGCTGTTGTGCAGTCTTCTCATGTCAGCTCTCCATTAGCAGCAGCTGAAGGATCCTATTGGAGGAGCAGCCCCCTCCTTTACTGTATCCAGGCAGGTTTTAAGCCACCCTGTGGGGGAATCCACACACTGCACCTCCAGTCTCAATTCGTGTGTCTGTGTGTGTGTGTGTGTCTGTGTGTCTGTGTGTGTGTCTGTGTGTCTGTGTGTGTCTGTGTGTGCGCGCGTGTGCGTGAGGAACCTGAGCTCAGCAGGGGAGGAGGCGAGGAGTCAACTGCGTTGCTGTGAAGGTCTGGTTGACTCACTGCTCCACGTCCTCAAAGCCTGCGTCAACACCTCCGACTACGACAGCAAGGTGCTGCAAAAACACACACACGTTTCTGTCAGTTTATTACTTACTACACTTACCTAAACCTACGTCTAACACAGCCTCCACCACATGTAATAAATGTGTTGAGTCCCCATAATGTGCCATTACTCTTGTCCAGTGTAGAGTCTAATGTGAAGCAGAAGTCAAAGGTCTCTGTTCAGTTATATTTCCGGTAGCTATAGAAACAAGTAGGTTTAATAGTCACAGGTCCATCGTCAGCACGACTTATAGAACATGTGATTTATCTTTGTATAAAACTTTGTCATCTTTTGCACATGAAGTAAACTGATTGTTAGCATATGAAAAGTCTGTTGTACTTGTTATTCTACTTGTTGTAGGCCACATTTCTCTGAGACTGGACAGCTGATTTTGGCAACGAGATTCACAACGTGTTGATAAACACATTTATCTCCTCTGCACCAAATTTATTATCCAGGCATTTGGTCACAAAGACCTCTGTCAGAGCCTCTATTAGCTTCTATGTCTTTAAAAGCACAAGACCTTTCACAGTAGCTAAGTTTAAAGACTTGTTTTGTTATGAGATCTAGGTGATACACAAGGAGTAGTCAGTTTTTATTATTATTATTTAAGTAATTTGTACAATCAATAAATGACCAGACTGATATGAAGGTCAGCTTTGTGCACAAGATCCTGTTTCTTACATCTGCACTGATGTTTGTTGTGGATGTTCAACCTGACTGTGTTGACTCTATTTCCTTTCCTCTAGCGCCTCCCTCAGGCTCAAACTTGAAAGTACTGACAGCAGAGGCATTAAGACTTGAATATTTCTCCTCAGATCGTGGAGAACAGCGTCTGCACCCTGAGGAACCTCTCATACCGGCTGGAGGTGGAGATGCCCTCCTCTCGTCTCCTCAGCAACCAGGAGCTGGACACGCTGCTGGGCTTCTCCTTCCCGGCCAAGGAGCTGGACTACCTCTGCTGGGGGAAGAGGAGGCGAGGCAGGAAGCGGGGTGGCTGGCCCGACGACAAGGTACCAACACAGAGGGTTGGGTTTATCAAGAGGTGTTCAGGGCCTGGAAAAATTTTGAAAATACAGGAGATTTCCAGGTCTGTTTTGGAATTGGAGAAAAGGGTGAGAGCGTATGAGAAAAATAGTTTTGCAACCCAGTACTCAGAATTCACTAATGAGTAAATGCAATTACACACATCCTGATAAGCAAAGGTAATCGAGTTTACAGCTCTAGTTGCTAAAGTTCATTAAATGAATGTGACCTAAATCCAGTTAAACAGCAGAAAGTGGATCTTTCCCATTATGAGTCAGTGAGCTTCCTTCCTACTGTAGCTAGTGTTTGCTATAGGTCTGAAGGTGCTGAAAGCCTCCTGCTGCACACCTCCACTTTTAGTTTCTAGGTGTGCAACCTCTCCTGATGTTTTGTGCAGTGGGATGACGTGGGGCCAATCCCAGGTTTCTCCCAGCCTCTGAGAGGAGCAGAGCTGCTGTGGCACCCGATGGTGGTGAAGCCATACCTCAACCTGCTGGCTGAAAGCTCCAACCCTGCCACACTGGAGGGAGCCGCCGGGTCACTGCAAAACCTCTCTGCTGGAAACTGGAAGGTAGGACTCCTCTATTTTTAACACAAGCAAGGCCATGATAAGTAAATCACTCACTGCATAAACAGAAATTCAGTAGTATGATTTACTCCTGAATCTTGAAATTGAAACATTAAAATTCCAAAAGTTTTGTTTTTAAAGATAAAGTAAGTTGCTTTGTCTTAAAAATCTAGAGGCAAAAGTCTTTACCTTAAGCCTCTGTGAAACTTACTGGATGAACTTCAGATGAGCTAAAAAGGCAGTTTTTCTAAAATTTTACATTTTAAAGCCACAGGTTTTTCACTCAACAGCAACATGCACTAAAATCCTCAAACTGTCCCATTAATTCATAAAATTGTAGGATCCTATTGCTTACAGTAAGAAATAGTTTGTCAAGGCCTTTAAGACTCTGTGTGTGTGTGTGTGTGTGTGTGTGTGTGTGTGTGTGTGTGTGTGCGTGTGCGTGTGTGTGTGCGTGTGTGTGTGCACGTGTGTGTGCGCGCGCAGTTCTCGGCCTACATCCGAGCAGCGGTGCGTAAGGAGAAAGGTCTGCCCATCCTGGTGGAGCTGCTGAGGATGGACAACGACCGGGTCGTCTGCTCCGTCGCCACGGCTCTCCGCAACATGGCGCTGGACAGCCGCAACAAGGAGCTGATAGGTCCAAACACACACAGTGAACAGATTGATCCCAGCTCAGCTGAGAAACTGAAACTGTGAAAAGATCATCTTCACACTTCAGTCAGAAACATCAACAGCAGCTTGTTCAAAACAGGTTTTCATATCAGACCACAGTGTGACACAAGTCCATTCACATCAATCACATTCAAGTCTGACAGAGTGAGAACACATTGCCCCCTTGTGGACAACAGGTGTGTAGCTGTTGAAATAATCCCACAGTTAACCTGCCTGCAGACAAATCAACAAATCATTGAGCTTCCACACAAAACAAACAAACAAAATGTAACTGGGGGCAATGGTAAACACAAGAGTCTCAGCAAAATAAAGCCCCAGCAGCCTCAGAAATTGGAAGCAACCTGCAGTCTCACACACCTTCTCCCTGTGCCACCATGTGGAGAATCTGCAGGACACACCTTTACAGAAACATCTTATATTTTCTCTCTCTGTGTAAAGCTAAGGTTAAAATATTTGTCAGTCCAAATCAAGTCTGTTCTGTTCTGCGTCTCCTCCTGCAGGGAAGTACGCCATGCGGGATCTGGTGAACCGACTGCCCGGCGGCAGTCCCTCAGTGCTGTCGGACGACACGGTGGCGTCGGTCTGCTGCACGCTGCATGAGGTCACCAGCCGCAACATGGAGAACGCCAAAGCTTTAGCCGACAGCGGAGGCATCGAGAAGCTGGTGAACATCAGCAAAGGACGAGGGAAAGGGTACGAAACAGCAGGAAAACTTAAAGTAGAAATTCTGCTTTATTTTTTAACCTTTGTTATGACTTTTGAAGTGTTTTACTGGTGTTTTGTGATGTGGTGTTCCAGCTATTCGATGAAGGTTGTGAAGGCAGCAGCTCAGGTGTTGAACACACTGTGGCAGTACAGAGAGCTGAGGAGCCTCTACAAACAGGTCAGCACCAGCACATACACCCAGACAAGTTCTCTTATGTCAAACTTAATTAAGAAGCTAAGTCTTTTAATTTATCAGCACCACATTGTGAAACTTTTAATAATTCGGACTCATGATACACAAAGAGTCAAAATTAACTCGGCAAAGCAATTACAGAGTCAGATTTGTCCCAGAATAATTTCTGCAGTGCTTGCAAAACATTAAAAGGGCTGGGTGACACAGATTTGCGTAAACAGTGTGTTAGATTTAGCTGTTACAAAAAGCTGAGTAGTAATAATATTTTTTTCCACATTATCTGACAGAAATAAAGAAACTGATAAACACTTTCAATACAAACAATCAGTATACCACAATAAATACATTAATCACATGAACTTTGTGCAGGATGGATGGAACTACACCCACTTCATCACCCCCGTCTCCACTCTGGAGCGAGACCGCTACCGTTCACAGCCGACTCTGCCCACCAGCCCTCTGCAGATGTCCCCTGTCATCCAATCAGGTGAGAGATCCAAGTCCGACCCATTGGAACAAAGTATAAAACTGTCCCGGTAATGTTTTGAGATTGTGAAAACATTCAGTTGTTTTTGTCGTTTTTACTCAGGCGGTAGTGCAACATCCTCACCAGCGATGCTCGGGATAAGAGGACACAGCTCAAATTATCAGAGGGCGCAGTCATCTATGCAACTCGACACCTATTATGGAGACAACAGTTTACACAAACAGCAGTACACAGGTTTGTCTTGTTTATCTTGTAAACCTAAATTATGACCCATGAAAAGCCCCCCCCCCCTCCTCTCTGTGTTTATGCTTATGTTTTTCTCCTGTCTGTGCTGTTGAACTTTCCACTTCAGGGTCTGAGAAGAAAACCCCATATTTCATCGGGACATATTCTTCCCAGTCAGGGGAAGATTTGAGAAGGTCCCAGGTAAGAGCTTTTGTAACCACATTGTTGCATTAAAGTATTGAATCTTGGTTCGTACAGCTAAAGATTGTAGAGAGATTGTACAGGTAAATCAGTGATCTATCAATCACTTGTTTGTTCCTCCCCCAGCATCCAGAGCCATTCTACGACGAACCCGACAGGAAGAACTACAACAGCTACAGAATGTACCTGTCGTCCCCACAAGGCTACGGAGAGGAGCAGTACGAGGACGAACCGGTCCACCTGACCCCGTCCTCCCCCGATGGCTACGCCAGCCAGTCGCTCCAGTTCAAAGCCAACACCAACTATGTGGACTTCTACTCCACCACACGGAGGCCTTCAAACAGGGCGAACAAGTTCACCGGCTCCCCTGACTCCTGGGTGTAGATACAAAACGGACAGTGCGTAGGTTGAGCTTCGCCGTTTTGGCTATGTTTTCCGTGGGTGTTGGTGTGTGGGGTGTTGGTGTGTGGGGTGTCGGTGTGTGGGGTGTCGGTGTGTGGGGAGTGCACGTGGGTGAGCCGTATGGTCGTGTGAAAGGTTGAGGATGCATGTGAATGTGTGTGCATCTGTGTTGAAACTGTACTGAAGGACCAGGGCTTGGTTTTCTACCTGCAGCTTTTGCCTAAGTCAGAACATGTGCTCAATAATGTAGATAAATATGAACTATTCCTTTATTTTTGGCCTTTATCCCACACTAAAAAAAAGTTATTCAAAGGGTAGATCTCAAGTTTAAAGCTGGAGACTGGTAATATTTGCTTTATTCTCATTTTCTTTGTTTCATAATTGAAAACATCTGTGAGACTTAGAGGTGAAGGTTGTTGCCCATGACTCATGTGTATCTAATGACTCTCACATGACTGCCAGGTGGCCTAACAATGTTACCGGTGTGAACGACCCGACAGAGGTCGCCATCATGGGCATCCTTACCAGAAGTTCAGATAAGAGGCGAGAAAGTAAGTCCATTTACCTTTTGACTTTAGATGAGATCTTCAGACATTTTTCTATTGGAAAAAAAAAAGATTGGAAATTTAAAAACGTATAAAGACACCAGGTGTTATCTGCATTATTATGGACATGGACTAAGCATCTTTCCTGTTGTAAATGCACACAGCACATAGATGGGCTCAGTCAAAAGATGCTTTTTGAAAAAACCCAGCCCTAACTTTGCTGTTTACCAGAGTGTTTGTTAACGTCAACTGGTTTCATTTTTCTCTGCAGTTAAAGTGTGCAGTGTGTTGGCTTTGTAACATAAATATTGTTCGCCAGCATCATCTTGAATGCAAGAGAAAAAGAAATTATTGAAGGTAAGGATCCTGTAAAAAAAAAAAAGGAAAAAAAGACCACACCTGGGCCAAATACTATTTACCAGTAATTCTTTGCACCAAACAGGATAAAAGTCTCTCTAAAAATTATTTCTAAATATTATTTGACCAAGGTTTGGAAGAGAAACTCACTCTCTGGAACCTTTAAAGACTCAGAGAACCAAGGTTACATCAGTAAACCTTGGGTTTTCTGTAATGTTTGGCCAAAAGTGCAGTATATCATAAAGTATGTGAAATATGTGACAAAAACATGTGAAAATCTATTTGTACAGATACAATGGTTTAACTGTCCTGTTACATTGTTGTATTCAATATGTAGAACTTTATATGTGATTGTGTGAAGAAGATTTTTCTATTATTTGATTATTTTTATTAATTTAATTGTGACCTGACCAAAATACCCCATCTGTCTGTTCTGTCCAAAACTGATAATGATAATGTGCAATGTTACAGAGGGAATATATGTATAGGGATTAAAGATTATATCATGAAGATATCTGAAAGTTGTCTTTCATCTTTTTGTCAAAAATAAGGACAAAAATGAAAGTTAAATAGATATATCTTTTATTATCTGTTGCAGGTATTATTCAGAGACATGATGCCGCAGCCAAAAGAAACGAAGGGAACTAAAAAAACATTCTGCAAACTTAAAATGTACATCGTGATGAGGTAAATGCATTGTGTATACAATTGCCTCAGTTTGTCCTCCCTGAGCATGCCTTTAACACAAGCTCTGGTTCATGCAGTTACATTCATTTATTCAGCGTGACTGCAGCTGCCCGGCTCGCTCAAAACAACCACAATCGAACGATTAAACGTCAAATAAAGAAGCTGATAATGGGGCTCATTCTCGGGCAACGAAAGCAACTGATCTGAAGCCTGAAGCTCTGTTATCTCAAAAGCTTCCCAGTCTATTTACGTTCTTGGCCGATAAAATTAGAGGACACATCCACCGAGATATATACATTCAAAAGCATGCTCAGCTGGCAGCACAGACTAATATATCTTTGATTAGAGGGTAAAGACTGATTACAATCTTTTGCTTTTAATTGGACGTTTTTTCTACAAAACCTTGTAGCCTCATTTCTGGTAATTTAATTTACCTTTTGCTGAACAAAAGGTAAACCAGCACAAGTCTTTCATTCTGGTGGTCCAGGTGTTTCTAAAGGCACGAGGTGTGGCAGAGTGAGAGCCAATCAATAGGATGATCATTAAGTTTGTCTGCTTTAGTGTTTCTGTTGCATTATTCTCACTCCATCTCTTTGTTTTTAAGGATGCTGAATGATCGGGAACTTTACATCATTACAACATCCTGAAATGTTATGGAAAAGAATTTAAGAAGATTTAAAGCCTTCTCCAGACTGTTGTACTGTTCTCTCAGTCCAAGGAACATCTGATTGGCTGGTCAGTGTCCCTGCAGTGCAATACAGTCAACCACATCTTAGAATAATTTCAACATACAAGATTCTGAAACTCAAATACTTAACCTTAAAAAATTAAAGGCCAGAACTTTTCTTAAGATTTTTACCTCCCCTGAGGTGAGCCAATCCCACTTGCAATTTAATGAGGTCTGTTTTTTTGACTGTTAACCACCTCTCTCTCTTGGCAAGAAAGCGAATAAGAATGTCAAACTCCTTCATTTAAATGCTGGTTTAAGATTAAATTATAAATCTGCTCTGCCTGGCTCTCTAAGCCGTACAAACTGTAGTTGCAAACTTATTCATGTCGTAACTCAGGGCCTCATTTATAAATGTTACACTTTATTCTGTTGCATAATTATGAATACAAATGAAACTATCTATAATCTGGAGCATAATTTAGGACATAAACACAACACCTTATAAATGAGGCCTCTGATCTACATTTAGCAAATCTCATATCGGTATATGCACTATGTTTGGATTCTCCGAGCGATGACAGTCTGTTGTGATGGTCTCCCACTGGTGCTCCAGCAGGATGGGTGGTGCTTGTGGTTCCAGGTGGAGGGCATGCTTTGAGTTGTTTATGGTTTGTCTGCAGGAAGAAAATATCTAAATCATCAAAATGTTAAACCTTTTACAGGCATTCAGAAATTTGAAATGCCATTATAAGAACTCACTGGGTTAACTTGTGGTTTTTAGTGGGTGACTCCGGCTCTGATGCAGGTGCTGATAGGGGATGACAGTGATGGATGATGGCCTGGACGGATGGGCTTTGCTGAGACACAAAGAGCAAATGGTAACTCCACACTGTCAGTTGTCAGTTTTTTTTTCTACTGCATATGTAAAAAAACTAATCTCACCAATCTGAGCAGAGTACCCCCTCCTGGCCATGTTCTTTGCCCGCACGGCCTCTTTGATGCGGTCAACCTCCTGCTGGTAGCGCTTGCGGTCCCTCATTGCGTTCTCCTTGGCCTCCTTCAGGGCATTCTCCAAGGCTTTGACTCGCCCAGCCGTGGCACGCAGACGCTTCTCCAGCTTGGGCAGTTCGCAGCGAAGGTCTGCGTTGTCTCGAACCAGCTGAGAAGAGAAGTACATTTACATTACTGAACTACAATTACAACAATCCTGATCTACTGCAGGTAATAGACCAGAACTATTAGTGCAAGTGAAGAAACTAGGTACTTCATCTTTCATCACTGGCTGGAGGGAATACTATTCAGACAGTTTTATGTTCATGTAACTTTACCTGCTTGTGGACCTTGGTCAGCTGTTCCAAGTTGTTCTCCAGGAAGGAGATCTTCTGTTTCTGGGCAACGTTGCCAAGTCCCTCCTCACAGTCCAGTTCTGCACTCTAGAAGAAATAGACAGTGTTAAACTGTGATTTTGAGAGAAACTAATACTGAACAAAAACAAAAAAAAACAGGTGATGTACTTTTTTAACCCGTGTGGTTAGGTCCTGAATGAAGAGTTTACGGAGGTTGTGCAGAGTCTGCAGCTCTTTGGCCTGAGGAAGAAGAAAGAAATCATTTATTATGGTTGAGACACAACTGATAGCAAGCCTCACTACAGGTAATAATTCTTTTTCTTACAAAAATCCACCACATTGCCAGTGCCAGGAAAGTTAAAAATAAATGTTATAGTGTTTTAGACACTGCCTCTCCCAAATGTCCACTGAAACAATCCAATATACCTTTAAATGAACCTTAGAAGCTCAAGGTTAGAGTCATCCTGGAATTATGTAAATTATAAAATCCAAGACTCTCTGGCCGAACCTGTTTGTCCCTGACTTGCCTCTCTTGTCTGAACCCTGGTAATCACTTCAGCCTTCTGTCCCTGACCTCAAGAACTGCTTTGTCTGAGTGATCCTGTGCTGGCTCATTCAGCCCAAGCATTTTTTTGATTTACCTGCCAGCTCCAGTTTCTGCCTGGGCAAAAATAAAGGTCATTACAAACTACTTTTGTTGAACTGTTCTGCATTTGGATTGAGGTAGTGAAAAGACTTTTTGACTAACACTTGTTCTTCACTTTAATGTCAGCAAGACTGACGTGTTTCAAAGCTCCATTAAAAGCTAGACACTGGTCCTTGAGTTGAGATTTTTTTTATTCTCCTGAGCTATCTGCAAGTTTGAAAGTTGTCTGGTTTTACAGCTGCAAATTCCTAACTTTGAAAGGGTTTTTTTGGTCTTGACATTTAGAGAAAATGTCTTGACCAAATATGGAGGCAAAGTGCACACAAACAGAAACATAATATAAAATTCCTCACTAAAACACTGTAAGCTGTCTTCCCCTCTCGACCATTGTTTACAGTTTTGACTTTTCCTACATTTCTTATCAATGATATGAGTTAAGATGTTTGAAAGTCAACAGAGAAGCTTGAACCAGTTAGCCCATGTGGGGAAAAGCATGCTAAGTTAGCTTAGCTGTGAATTCAATGTCAATTTGAGACTACTAACTTTGACATGACTTCCAAGCTATGAAAGAGCTACACAAAGGCATTTGGTGTCATGTATTTACATTCTTCTGTAATGATATTTAATTGAAGTTACCGAAATGTTTGTAGCATCCTTTCTACCGCAAAGCCAAGGTGAAAGGTCAGACTGTCAAACAGGAGGTGGGTGAATCCAATTTGATTTATAGAAGGGGGAACCCGGATTGGAGTAAAAGTTATTTAGTCTCCTCCATCACCAGGAAGTCACCTCCATCAATTGCTCTGCTCTCATACTATGACATTTTATGAAATCCTATACTACAACATTTTTATGGCAGTAGTAGTAGAATACAAGTTGTTAGACTCACCACTGTTTCCTCCAGCCCCTTCAAGTCTTCTCTGGCCTGTTCCCTCTCTTCATTCAGCAGCCTGGACAGAAAACAGATATACTATAGTAACATTGACAAAACATATTAAGCTGAGCTCCATCCAAGTGTCAACTGGGACCTACATGAGTTTCTGCAGCTTTGTATCCTTCTCCTGCTCCTCAGCCTTCAGTTTCTCATAATCTGACATGAGTCTCTCCTGCTCCAGTAACAAACCCTGGTTCAGACTGTGAGACAAACCGAAATAGACACAAAAATAAAACATTTTGACATTGTATAGGTATCAATTATTTGAGTATTATTGATGTTTCCTCACTCTGTCAGTTCATCCAGCATCCTCTGTTTGTCTTCAATCTCATCTCTGAGGCGGCTGAGCTGCTTCTGATGAGTCTCCCTGTGGTTCTCCAGCTGCTCCTCCAGTGTTTTCTGGAGGACAGTGACAACAAAAAAACATTACACACAATCATTTCCTACTGTGAATAGTGACAGTCCTTTTAATTCACCTTGATCTCCTCGCCCCCATCCAGTCTGCTGATGTCCTCCTTCTCCAGCCCCGACATCTCGTGTCTTTTCTCTAAGAAACACCAAAGACAACAATTTAGTTTGTACTGTTTGTGATGTGGCATGAATTTAAGATCTATCTAACAAAATAAAACTAAGTGGATTTGACCCTGGATGTGTGCTGACCCTGAGCCTGCAGTTTGGCGAGCTCCTCAGTCAGAGCATCCTGATTCTCCTCCAGCTGCCTCTTCTTCTGCTCCATGTTCTGCATGTAGTCGGTCAGAGACTTGATCTTGGCCTGGTGCTGTGCACAGAGGAGACAACATAAACACCTCAACGCCAGTCAACATTCACAACATTCAGTCATGGGGCACTGAATTTTGAAAATACCTGCATAGCTGACCCAATTTTTATTTATCATAACTATGACTAGTGAGTTATGATGATGATGATATAGTTACAGTGATTATAACTATGGCCCAAGGTGACAGTTACCTGGGAGATGAGAAGCTGACAGGATGCCAGCTCCTTTTCATTGGCCTGGATCTTCCGGTGGGCGTCGGCCTGAGCGCTCTCCAGCTGCTTGCTGCGGTTGACCAGTGACTTCACCTCGGACTTCATCTTGCTGATGTAGAGGCGAGCGACGGTGAACTCCTCCTCCACCGCCGAGCCGTTCCCCTTCGTTTCTGAAGACTGAGGATGGAGGAACAGGTTAGGGTGTGAGTGTGGGATATGATGTGCTGTATTTAAGTGTGTGTGTGTGCTCATCCTCACCGCAGCGGTCTTGACGTCACTGGTGCCGATGATGGCGCCAATGTCGCTGAGGTCTCGCAGCAGCTGATTGAGGACTTCGCAGGCTCTCTTCCTCTGCAGGCCATTTAGCTCCTGCAGCTGACTCAGCTCCCTCTGCACCGCCGAGAGCAACACCTGTCCACAACAGACACACGGGGACAACTCATTGACATAATGCATTGAAAACATTGTGAAATATATAGAGCACACATTTAACACAAAGCTGACCCACCGTCTTGTGGGTCAGCTCCTCCGTCAGCTGCAGGTTGGTCTGCTCTCGCTCCTCCACCTCCAGGCTCTTCCGGTCGTAGTTGACAGCCAGCTCCTCCAAGGCCTGCAGCACCTCCTTCACCTCCTCCTTGGCCAGCTCGTTCTCCGTCTGCAGCCGGCAGAGCTCTTCCTGGATCTTCTCGTAGTCGCGCCGCGTTGATGCCAGCAGCTGAGAGCATGCATAAAGGACAGGAAACATTAATATCCAACAAAATGAGTTCTTACAGTTTGATAAAACAGAAGGGACAAACCTCTTCCTGATCCAACATCTGCTCCTTGAGTTTCTCAGCCAGTTGACTGTGTTGGTTGATCTCATCATCCTGTAAAAATATATTCAATAAGAGTAAATTAAACCTTTATCCATTGTTGTTATTTCCCAACTGTTTCCAGTTATGAGCCCCCTGTTAACTGGTCACACTGAGTTATATGTTGTTAATTTTATTCAGGCACCCTTTCGGTCAGCCCAGGTGCATTGTAGGTTACTAACATTCGGGAGTTAGTGTTACCATAGTAACCGACGGGTTTCCCTTGTGTACAGAGAATGCATTTGATGAAAGTTATTAATAGCTCGAAAAACCATTTGTTTATATGAGATAACTTTATATGTAGGTTCTGTTATGTTGCCTAGACTCTGTTGTTATTGACTCACTCTCGGTTGAGCTAATACTAGCTAATTAGCCGTGTTGCATGTGTTACGTGTGTGTGTGTGTATGTGAGATGCTAATTAAGCTATTCTAGTAGCTATTTTGTTCAGTATAAAGCCTAGTGTCTTCAGTATTTAAATCTAATCTGTTAAATATTATTTCTGTTTTATTCTGTTTGCAGGAAACCATTCTCAGTTAAATTCCTGCGTCAGTGGATCATTCAATATGCTGTGCTACCAATCATCTAAACCTAAATAAAGATCAAAAAGCAAGAACTGTTCCCTGTGTCTGCCTTCACTTTCTGACCGGAGTTGCTGTAGTGGATAAAGTGGTCCCAGCATTACATTTCATTAACCCACAATCATCAATATCCATAGAAATGTGGAGAAGGGTGAGGAGTCTCACTTTGTCATCCAGCTGCTTGTACAGGTTGGTGATGTCCTCCTCGTACTTGCTCCCCTCCTCGCCGGAAACTGAGACGCCTCCTCCGGCTGGCAGCAGGTTGTCGATGATGGGAGTGTTGTCGTACGGCTCGACGTTCTTCTGGTCTTTAGAGCTCAGCTGTTCCTCCTCAGGAACGTTCTCCCCTGTAGGTTACATGCATCTGTTAGTTCATTTACTCGTCCATTAACATCCAGTAAAATCATATCATCATATTGTCTCATGGGTATGTGCCTTAAAACAAAACTAACAGTGTGTGCACAGCCTGTTAGCGGCAGTGTGACTTCAGCAGATAAAGAACTTACGATGATTATTGATTTTTTTTAATTTTTTTTTTATTGAGGTTTGCTTCAATAGTGATGAGCGCCAACAGCAAATGAAAAGATGGAGCAGAGGACAGACTGAGAAGGGGATGTGCAGCTCTCAATAAATGGCTCGGCATGAAGCCAGCAGCTGACTCATGTCAGAAACACTGCATCAGCATAACACGCACGCGCGTGCGTGTGTGTGTGTACCTCCCTGTCACTACATTTACATTTATAAAGAGCGTAGGCTTCAGAGGCTGCAGCTGAGCTAATTTGTTGCTAAGGAGCGTTATCAGCGTCCTCAAGGGAATTACAAAATAAAAAACGACAGCCAGAGAGAGGTATGGAAACACATTAAGGCAAAGAGGAAAAGGGGGAGAGCGACAGAGAGGCGGGGGCTTCAGTGGTTACCATGCAACAGAGATGGAAAAAAGGCAGAGAGATGCTGTGCAGGAGATACTGCTCAGAGGAGAGACAACAGACAGTGTGTTTGAATATAATCGAACAACTCTTGCAAACATCCAGCTTTTGTCGGTAGAAGGAAAAGGTACAACCGGCTCTGATCGGCAGTGATGTAAACACAACACAACTGTAAACACACCTGCAACCTGGTAACCAGACACGGCAGTGCTTGGGCACCAACCCCAGAATAAGACCAGTTTGCACGGTGGCTAACAGCTCACTCTTTCTCCCCTGCGTCTGTGTGTGTGGTTTACCAGTTTGCCCTGTTTGTATCTCACCGTTCCTCCAGCGGTTGAGCTCGGCCTCCAGCTTCTGGATGATGCCTTTCAGGCTCTTGTTCTTCTCCTTCTCCTTCTCATATTTCTTCTTCCACTCCTCAGCTGTCAGCTCCAGGTTCACACACACTGTGTTCTTGATGGTCTTGGCTCTAAACAGTCACGGACACAGAGCAGAGTTAAGTTTGTTGTTTAAGTCAACAGGTTACTCAAGCACCACGCACGCATGCACAGTTTTAATTAACTGCCCTGATTAATCCTCTCCTCTGTATCTCACTGACATCTCCTTCCCTCCGTTGTTGTACCGCAGAGCTAAACTGAGTAAAACACTTGTGAGGGTGGATTTAAATTATATAAATTCTGTATTAAAGGCCAAAGTCTTGGCTATGAAGCCCCAAATCAAGTGTTTTTCATGGTGCCAATATCACATATGTTAAATAAAGATTCCTCATTCTTTTTTATTGTTAACTGTATGTATTAGGAGAATATAATGAATATAATCTAAACATGTTCACTGGGTAATGCAGTCTATTGTGTGAGGCTGACATGTTGCTCTCTGTCAGAGGAAGTCCAGCCATCCAGATCTTTCCTCTAATGATGGAAATCTCATTTCAAACTGAAGCCCTCATTTCCTCTCCGTCTCTCAGGCAGATGGCTCATCAGTCATCTCCCGTCACTGCTGCTGCTGAATGCTTTATTACATAAGCAGTTTGAACTGTGTAGACACTATCTCATTTTATCTTGCATCCACTGCCATCATCTCTGTCAGTGTCACTGTCTGAATGAACAACAGAGATGAAGAAACGAGGTGTTGTGGGATCTTTAAATAGGAATAAACCAGGATGCACAGCGGGAAACTCAGAGCCATCTGGCTTCTAGCTCTGACGTCAGATGAGGACCATCATACACACACACACACACACACACACACTTTATTCAATACGCCACCTATCAGCTGGTCAGGGCTGAGGCGCTGAATGTTAGGTGTCACACGTACCTCTGTCCAAACATGAGCGTGGACTTTGTCTCGGCTTCGTTGTAGATGGATGGCGAGCAGCAGATGATGATGGTGGTGCGACAGTTTCCTCCCAGGGAGTCCTGCAGGATTCGAGTCATCTTACTGTCTCTGTATGGCACGTGGGTTTTCTGAAAAATCAAATTTATCATTAAGTGTTGCTTGGTGCTGCGTTTCTTCAAATATGTGGAGACAGAATGATGATGAACTTACTGTTCCCTCGGCCAGTGCTGAGATGACGTTTCCCAGCGCAGACAGGGATTTGTTGATGTTCTTCGCCTCATCCAGCACTGCTCCCTCAGCTCCCGTCTTACTGACCTGTTCAAACAGACAATATACAGATTTTATAACATTTTTACTTCATAAAACTCAACAACAGTAAGCACCTTTCACTAAACATTAACTCTATCTAAGACTGACCTTCTCACTGCCAGCCAGGTCGACCAGGTAGAGCTTCCCTGACAGCTTCTTCTCCGTCTCAATGTTTTCCTGCTTGATGTTGATGAGGAAGATGCTGTGGCTGCGAGAACTGTGCTCATTCATGTCTAGAAAATGATTTAAAAACATTATTACAGGTGGTCTACAGCAACTGCTAGCAGCTACTCCATCCAATATTTGTTGCTATCCATGGAGCTAAGCCGCTAGCGTGGATGAAAATGGAGATACAAACATTAAAATAAGTACAGATGCAGTGATACGTACTGGTCACTGCCACATGCCGATTGGCTTTGCCCTCATCAATAACATCCATCACCTCCTCTGGACTGGACACAAAACGCTCAGTACAACCCTGAGAGAGAGAGAGAGGTAACAAAACAAGTGAGATATCATTGCTCTTTCTGCTACAAAAGGTAGCAAATGTAGAGTCACTACTTTATTTTTATCCCAAAGGAAACATTTAAGCGTTTCATTAGCTGTCAGGAAGAGAGTCTTGGTGTATTGTCTTATCTCAAGTTCACCAACCTTGACGTAGGGCACTCTGTTTTTGTCTTCATGCACAGAGAGGTTTGTCTTCGACACTTAAAATAAACCAAAGAATCAAATGACTTTTAATAAAATCTATAATGCAAAATATTCCCACTAAATGTCACCTAAATTTGTCTTAAATGTTGCACACTCACCATCCAGCAGGTCTCTGATCTTGTCCAAGTAGATTTCAAAATAGGAGACCTGCACAGAGAAACACATCAGTATCTTACTCCACACCTTGAAGCATTTCCAAACATGATCAAGGTCCAAATAATTATTCTACAACATCAGCTATCTGAATCTTTGCACTAGGACTGGTTTCTTGTGAAGTGTGTGATTTAGATATTTAGATATGTAACATATATTATATCTAGATATGTTGTTAGATCATTTTTTATGTCTGAGACAGTTTATGTTTGGTGGATAAATCACCTTCAATGCAAATTCAATAGCTGTGTTGAGCCACAACTGGGATTCTCATCATTACATAATTATTTTTTTAGCCTTAACTTTCATTCTGAGTTTATGAGAATTTATAAGTTTGTGCTGTGACAAACATATTTGTCTACCTTGATGTGAAACTCCAGGTTCTCGTCCATGGAGTAGATGTGGTCAAAGATGTCGTGGGCGATGCGAGGGATGATTCCCATCAGCTGGGGGTCGTGCAGTTTGCCCTGAGCACAACGGTGGAGATTGACGTTTTAATACAAAATGTACGTTTCCAAACAACCAAACAGACAGTGAAGTGAAGGTTCTTCATCACAGATCACATCAGAGAATTAAACAGAGGCTTTCGGCTGCTGTCTAGGTGGATTAGTCTACGAGCTGAAGTAATTTGCACTCATGATGCTGATCTCCTCTGAGAGTCAGTCCGTGCCAAAACTCTATTTTTTCTACGTTATCTGTAAATTTCTCCACAGACAGTGAATTTGGACGTCAGTGCCTTGCTGAAAGGCTTTGCTGTTGGCAGGAATCAAACCCTCCTGGTACAGGACAATCTCTGATATCAGGCTTTTGATTCCTGTTTGATTCCTTCCTGTAAGACCTTGTATGGATTTAGTGTTTGGGGTAAATCTGTTACACAATGGCTGCTGTGCTCTAATCTTCTGACTGGAGACAGAAGCTTAAATAAAAGTCACTGCTGCGCTGTACTCTGGGATTGATCGATGGGTTGATTGATTGACAGTAAATATACAAAAAGTGGAGGAATTGAGGGCTTCTATATCAGTCATCTTAACATCTGGCTTGAGATATTTCTGATAACTGACTTCTGTGTTTTTGAAATACTGTACTGGACCAGATGAGTCTCTCACCTCCATGGTGTGTGTCTTCCCTGAGGACGTCTGTCCGTAGGCAAAGATGGTCCCGTTGTAGCCGCCCAGCACATCTGCAATGACACAGAAACATAAATATGGAAAATTACACACATATTGGTAATGCTATTACTTCTGTTACTACTATTTTTTACTACTATCGATACTGTATTATTAAACCTAAACTACTAGTGCATCACTATCTGCTATGTCTATCACTAACACAGCTGCTACTAATAAAACATCTTCTTTTAAACATGGCTACACAAAGAGCTTAATGTAGAAATGATCATTTAAGATCAGAAACATAGTAAATAACATAAACTAAACATGTATGGATTTTTTTTAAAGTGACTAATGCCAAGTGCTTATACCTAGTGTAAAATGCCATTTCTACAGCTCCATTATAAACTAAGAATAAAAAGAGAGTTGAGGATAAAAGATGGAGGACAGATTAAGTCTGTGTGCTGATATACAGTAGATTAACGTTACATAACAACGTTTCCTCCGTCTCCCTCCAGCAGGTTTAAACCTTCATACCGTACCTTTAACTATCTGTTTGGCACACTGGTCGTACACTTGTTCCTGTGCCGTGTTTGGAGGCAGCACGCGGTCGAAAACGTAGGGTTTACCCTGTTTCAGACCAACAGACATACACATTAATAACAACAGGGAGATGACAGTGGATTACAATACAACTGACAACAGCATGGCAAATGGTTGCATATAAATATTAATGTATTGTAGTTAATATTCCACCACTGTGCACAGAATCCTGAGCTGCAAACACTCCAATAACTTCCAGGATCTGTCAGTCTGGCCATCCATCACTCCCCCTGCCTATGTCCAACTACTGACTCTTTGTCTCAGGGGTGGAAGGATCGCTGCTGTGAAAAGCAGCTCTCAGCACTTGGAAGCAGCAACAGCAGTGCTCTCGCTCTCTCTGAACACCCAAAACGAAGCAGACAAACCACTGACACCGACAGTATCAGAGCGCACGGCCTCAGTAATGTGTTTCTGCGGTTTGATTGATGGCACAAGGCGGTTACGCGCAGTTTGTCCTGGCAGAGCAGGTAGAAGACAAACAACAAACTTACAGGCTCTACAGGGACAGAAAACACAGTTTTCAGGCTGGGCATTTAGAGAAATAACACTCGTTAAGATTCAAGCAATAACCAGTGCAGTGTTTTCTGTCCTCTTGCTTTAACTTCTGATATTTGAGGTTGGAGATTAAAATGACTTTGCAATAAATCATCTAAACCTTCTGACCCAAATATGAAATTGTCTGTGTTATCTTCACCCACCTGGAATTCCATGGAGTAGAAAACAAACAAACCAAACCCAAATCTCAGGCCTCTCAGGAGTACCCTATATAATATGTATGTGTATGGTTTCACACTGTGGTTAAGCACAGTATTGATGTAACCCTCCCTAACTTCCTGTGGCCTCCTGAATCAGCACATTTATAATGGTGAGTCAGTGTGAAAATGACCTTTGACTCCTCCAAATTATAACGGCATTTGTGATTGAAAAAAATCAAAGCGTTTTCCTCTGCAGCAAAACTCTGTGGATCAGTTTTAATATAGCTATAAAGCTTTGAACTGAAGCCATGACTGCTTAAAAAGGCTGTAGAAGAAGATTGTTTTCTCTGTTTCCCACATATGTTTGATTTTGTTTGTGTGGTTACATTTAAAGTTCTATTTTCAAAACAAATTTTTTTTTAATGCATCACAGCAGAGAATCACTAAAATCCTTTATGATCTGTGTATCTCCTGTTCCACTTAAACACAACAATTTTGCTATTTGATAAATAAGATTTGGATGCAAACACATAAAATATCAATTTTATATGATTAAACTATTTGAATTATAGATTTAAATGCTGCAGCAAGGAGCTATGAGTCTGTTGAGTACTAGAATAGTCCCAGTTGTGTTGACAATGAGTCAGTGTTTGTGCCCACTGCTGCAGTGAGTCCAAAGACAACACAGCCTGAGGTTCTTATTGTTTGAATACATTGATGAAATATTATTAGTAACAGTCTGTCATGCAGTAGTAGAGCATGTGTCTATTTTCAGTAGAACATGTTTTGACATGAGGTATTTGGCTCTGTTTTAAAAAGTACATTTGCATCAAATACAGTACATAGAGGCAGCTTTGAAGTTTGAGCTGACACAAGAGCACCACAAATTCCTACAGTTTAGAGTTTATTTGGAGTACTTTCACACACTATATCTCTGTGATATATGATATAATTGGTATAATAATATAATATTCTTCTAAAGCATCACAGGCATATTGCGCACTTGGCATCCCCAGCCTGCCTGCAGGGCTCCAGGAGACTTTCTTCCTCCAGCACACTGCAGTGTTTACACACAAATCACTACCACCACCACCATCATCATCATCATCATCATCATCATCATCATCATCACAACATCAGTGAGAGGGCACACTCACCGTTATGACCACGGTGTCGTCGTCTTTGAATTTGGGGATGTATTTGTCTCCTCTGGTGATCTCGGCCTCGTTCAGAGGCCTGAAGCGGCACATCACTCTCACCCCGCACTCCGCTGCATCCACCATGGCTGCTGCTGCTGCTGCTGGCACTGTTTACACTGCCCCTCCAAATAATGCGGGTACACACACTCAAACAAACAAGCAAACACACACACAGACCACACACACACACACACACAAACAAACAGGCTAGAAAAGAGGCGAGGATCAGTCTGTCTCACGCAGGGTGGTGCCTAAAGTGAGGTTCAGGGACCTTCAGCGGGGCCTTGAGAATTGTCCCTGCGTCCCGGGTCAACTGGGAGTTCACAATTTACTAAAACACGGTCTCAGATCATTATTGGCAAGCAAACCGTTTCCCGAGGGTAAAACGTAGGGTTTACGGGAACCCGCACCGCGTGAAAGTTTAGAAACCTCCGACGTGCAACGCGCCCTTCATCCCAGCCGAGTGTCTCCGGGTTTCCTCAGCTGCGCCATGGCCAAACCGGATCAACTGCAGCGCTGCGAGGAGCTAACACACCACTGTACAGGCCTCCCTCCCTGTGCGGCGGTGACACTCAACAATCGCGTCGACAGCGGACTGAGTTGTATTTGTGCTCCTTAACGGCAGGGCACAGTCAGGGTTTGCTGCCCGGTTTGCAGAGGGAGAGCCCGGAAAGGATGCGCAGAGTCAGCCGCATCGTCCTGACTTGCAAAAGAAGCGCGCTCCCGGCACGATGCCGCGGCGCGCTTCCGCTCCTGCATCAGCACCACCACCATCACTGAGCTGTTTGTGAACGCGCACACAATTCAATTCAATGCCTTTGTTGTCATTACAGTGTACAAAAACCTGAATCATCTTCTTAAGAAACCAGCAGCATGAGTGGATACAATTTGCTAACCTTTGACAGCTGATGAGCACATAAATGCATCACTAATTGTGATTTAGCTAAATTATAAACATTAATGTGAAATGAGCCAAGGAGTATTTTTTACTTTTGGTATATTAAGTATGTGTAGATGCTAATACTTTTACAGCTTTGTCCGATTTAGACTGGCAAGGCTAGGCTAGGCTAACAATAACATATTATATATTTAAGCCGTATATAGTTACGACTGTGATTGTCTTCGGTACTGCGGCCTCGTACCTATGACCAAATCACAGCCGTGCTGATATTCCGTACTTAAGACAACATTTCGACCTCGAGTGTAATATTGCCTTTATACAACAGTTCTTCGAGCAGCATATTAGTCAAATAAGCAACAACACATTATGATTTGTTCGTTTAATTGGTCACTTATTCGGCTACGACAACACAAATAGTTCTAGAACTGGACTGGTAGCGGACTGTTGCTAACCAAAACACAAACTTTGTCCTGACCTGCACAGTTAAGTGTAGCTTGATACCTTGTCTACGTTACCTCAGGAGTGCGCTGAAGTATCCAGGCTTCTTCCCTTCATCATCTTCTGACGACCATACATGACTTAATTCAAATGTTATTCCTCGACATATTTTCATCTCTGCAAAGTTAGTTAAAACCCAAGCTAGATAACGACCGCTAGCGTGACGCTAATTAACAGTTAACAGAACACCTGTGACGCGGAGTGATACATGTTGCTAAAGTCCCAGTGCCGTTGTACTCTGTATCAGCACTAATGGAATGCCTCTTGTCCAGTCAAATGACATGATCGGAACTAACTGTTGTATAAATTATATACATTATATCAGATATATATTATTTTATATATTAATTGTCCTGTCATGATTACTTTTTGAGGTGGAAACCTCAGTTGAAACGACAATCTCACCACAAGGTGGTGCTTTAGATCATATCACACAATCATCACGTCATCATTTTTTTTGTTAGGGCAAACTTAATCTCCTGATGATCATCTAGTACAAGAGAGAGCTCTAGAACATCTACTAAATGGACTTTATGGTAAGTTTCCTCCAAGGAAATAATGACTTGCATTTTCATAGACTGAATATTATATATATATTTATTATATTCTAGATAGTTTTGGTTAATAAACACAAGATACCAAACTGTACAGTTCATTATCCGTGTATTCAGTAATTTGTTCTTTAAATAATATATATTTCTATATTTTAATTTCATATTTCGGACCATTATCTCAATTTTTTATTCTAAATTCTACATAATCTTTGGTGGGGAACATTCAGTAGACAATATTAAAATTGCAATCTTCTATTTGCCCACTAGAGGGCAGTGTGTAACAGGAAATTCTGGCTTTAACACCAACGTCTGATATAAACCATATTTTTAAACTTGGTATAAAATTAATCTGGGAACTGTGAAGAAAGAATCAGGAAACAGGGAACATAACAACACCTAACACAACCGATTATTCAAGTAAGAGTGACCATGTTTTTAATATCTTAAACATCTGTGCAACATTGTTCAAAATGTTACATCACTGCATGACCTGTAATGTTTCACAATATTTACAAAAAAATGCTGCTTACATCAAACCATTAAAAAAAGTCCAAACAATCTCAAAATAATGGACTCTGACAAACTATCCCTAGCCCACATTAATGCAAAAAGAAAAATAAACAAGAGCAATCAAGTGCACATCATACTTCACGCAAGTCTATTTTTTGTAAAGTATATATTAGTGAGAAAATATATACTTAATTACAAGTTGAAAAAATAAAATACTGACAAGGAAAGGGTGGAAGAGGGAAATGAGATTCAAAGAGCAGAAACAAGTTCACCAGAAAAAATAAAATAAAATAAAAATAATAATCACCCTCACACACACACAGTCACAGGCTGGAGGAGGAAAAAATAGACTGCACAGACCATCTGAAACACAAAAATGCTTTGAACTCTTGACCACAAATAACATGAAACTGATAAAACAGATCCATAACACATGGGTTCCCAACACGAGACCAGGTTCCTGCATGTCATTGCACAAAAAAAACGGGGGAAGAGAGGCAGAATGAACTTTACCGAAAGAGCTCATGTGTTCTCGACACCGAATGTCACATTTTGAAAAAGGCCGGAGGATTTCCTTGCCACAGTTTACAGTAAAACTCAACTCTGAGGTTCCTTAAAAGTGCGCACACTGAAAAAACTGGGACACTTTGAAAAGCATAGACGTCAGACTATAAAATTTGACTTAGATATTTAGAATTTCCATTATCAAAAATGGAAAATAATCACACTGGGTTGAGCTAACACCGATGTCTCATATTCATCAATGAATACTGACATTTTCTTGATGTTACCGGGCTTTGTTGCTACAAATCCAGGACAGAAACTGAGCTTTTTCAAAAAGTCCTTGAGTTTTTTTCAGTGTGCACATGACAAAAAAAGGTCAAAAATACTTTGAAATAAGTCAGAGATCTCATCAGAAAATACAGTACAAATGACTTTAACGTTCTTCAAAGTGTGAACACACGAATAAAGTTAGAACTGTTGAAATTGCTTACTTGGCTGTAATTCATAGTTTGACTTTGAAGCTCCTGGTTTTGGATATTTCTCAATGGTTACATTTGAAAACTACTGAAATTTGAGAGTAATACTCATCTGTGTGAAGTAGTGTACTATTTGGTTCAAGTAACGGCTTTTTAGTAATATGATATTTGGATGCATCAGATATTTTGTTTACCTTAGTAGAATTAAATGTGCTGTTGGCCTTAACGGGTGTGGCGTGTGTGTAAAGGTAAAGCTACGAATAAATTACTACTTCATGGCTCTTAGGTCAGGACATCTGAAAAAGAAAAGGGTAACAGATTACACGTCAGAGGAGATGCCGACATTTTGAAAACAGGCAACAAATTACAGTCCGAGTTGTTGAAGGTGTGTACAAAAGAAAATGTTTCAAACAATCAGAGATGCAGTGTTTCTAAACGGTTGATCTTTGCCATCGATTAGTATATTGCACTTGATAATTCTGTAGTGATTTCAGGTTGTTGGTTGATTTTGATCAGGAGGAGCACCTGTGTGTGTGTTTGTGTGTGTGTATGTGAGTTCACGGTCGATTATCACGGTGAGGATTCTGCTTTCCGGCTTGAAACTTTCATGATAGTTTTTTAGTGTTAAAACTGCATTTGTTACCAACATAAACGCCATCTGCCTTTTCACACGTGCATATTCATAAATAGTGTGGTTATTTTCTTCAACTAAGAAATCCATGACACAGTCTGTAACAAAAACAAGTAGCTCAGAAAGCCTCACGGTAAAAAAAGTGTTATCTGTGATGCTCACTTCTTAAATAAAAGGGAAAAGACCTTTGTAATGGACTATGAATACATGATCTATTCACTTGTTTAAAAAAACAAACAAAAAAAAAAACAAAACATACATATACACATATAAGGCTTGAGTTCTCAACTCTTGGTAGTATTATTGCCATCTAGCATATTTGTAAAGCTTAAAATAAATATGGAGTACTGTACATAAATAATTTACATCAATAAGCAAAACAAACAAACCAACGAAAAAACAATAAAACAAAATAAAAACACAAGGCCCCTAAATGCGAGAAATGCTTTCACTGCTCCTGAAAAGCATGTTAGTGTTACTGTTTGATAATCTAGACTCTGCCTCTGAGCTCAGTTCCTCTACCTAAAGCTATAGATGTGGCAAAAACGACTACAGTCATGAAAAAAAATCAAAAAAATCAAAAAAATCACTGTACAAACAAGCACTAGAACATGATCACAACATCCAAATGAAATAATTCATCAATGCAGACTGTGATTCTTGGTCGTAGGTGAAGGAAAAATCCATCCAGCTCCACTGTTAGTGGTGATTTTATGTTGCACTTCAGTTTGGAGTTTTACTTCTTCCCACAGATAACTGGCCAGAAGATGAAGCCAAGGGAAACATTTCCAGCTACAGAAGTCTCTGTGACCTCAAACATCAACAGTAAGTGGGGCCTTCTTTTAAAAACATCAATTTGTACTGTTCAATAATAAAAAGAAGAAATCCATCATAGATGAGGCACAGATGCCAATTTCTGCACCAGTTTACAGCCAGCTTTCCCCTATTGAGCCGATTTCTTGAACGCCATGTAAACAACAAACCTGGTTTCACTAACCAGAGTATGAGATTAGAGAAACGGGATTGCCACAGCTGGATTCCTCCTAAAAGTCTCCCCCAAAGTCAATTTCCTGCCACAACCTTTCAGGAAGCAGCAGGGGAGAAATCAGAGCACTGGCCTGCTGCACGTATACACATCTTCACGGTAACCAGGTAACCAACATACTGATAGAAACAGCTACATGTTAGCTTGCTGGGTAGCCATCAGGTGACGCTGCAACTGGTGTTTATTTTACCTATAGATTAACCCGCTGAATATTGTTTTGATGAATCGATTTGTTGTTTAGTCGATGAAATGCCAACATCTCAGAGCCAAGCCTTCAGCTTTCATCTTCTTTCACCCAACGCGCCTAAACCTCTAGGTATTCGATCGACTAATCAAGTAATCGATTTAACCCAACCACTGTGAGTTGTAGGAAATTGTTCTGGAAAATCTTGGAAATAATTTTGGCAAAACTCCGAAAACTCAAACAACAACACAAAATGTAAAACTGCCTGAAGGTGGATTTTTCCTTCTAAAAACGTCAGGTAACCAACTTCCTTTTGTCTGCCAGTTACGATGATTGGTAAACCCAAAAAATTCACCTGCCAACCAGACTGGATCTCCCAATATGTTGTTTTTCCTGTCAAGGTGCCTGGTGGAGCAGATGAAGATTTACCAACACTCGTCCGGCCGCTGGTCGTTTCCCGCCCTGCTCAGGGGAACATTGAACACTTTCAGCTGGTAAAGTTCATTCTGTTTTTTATCTTTTTTTTTTTTTTTTTACCCAATACAAATGAACACTTAACTGGTGTGAAGTGGCTATCGTAATGGAGAACTCATATACTCGTGCCTGTTCCACTGCTGTTCCCTTACATTTAAAAAAACAAACCAAAAAACAAAAAGAAACAAAAAAAAAAACAAAAAAAAACAAAAAAAGCACGTCTTACAGTTCATCATATAAAAGCTTTAGGCTGTATTCTTATTTATCCTATGCATGCGGCCGTATGCAACCGCATTTCTGAATAGAAACCAAGACATTGGTACACTTCTTCTGCTTTGTTTTGTACAATAAAAGATAAAATGTGCATTAGGTACGCTTGTACATGACATTGTACAATATTTACATACATTTCTTAATAGCATGAAATTTCAGGATTATCTATATACATATTGAAAATGTATCAGAAATATTTGGACTGTCTATTTTTCTTAAATATGTAAGGTAATGCTTGTAGCTTTTTTTGTTTATTTTACTATCTTATACTAGAAAAAAATAGTTAATTCAGTGAGCTGTAGACAAATTGCAACCATTTTTGATGTTTTTCTCAATTTTTTCTTTTTTTTTGTCTTCTACAGTTAAAACTGTATTGGTGATTGGAATTTCCAGCACCTTCTGTGGTCAGTCATTAAGTCAAGTCGATATGGAACAAAGATGTACCACTGAAAGTCCATGTGTAGCACCTGTTAGAGAGCTCAGATCGCATCAAGGCTGAACGGACAAAGTCTCCGAAGGCTTTGAGGACGTTCTTGGGCCGACACATTCAATGTTATCTGGATATTTTCCTCCTCTTAGGCTTGGGGAGCTTCACCTGACGATCTCTCGACGGGATCTGATGGCAGACGGACAGAGAGAAACATGATGGTGAAGGCTGGACAGGTGGAGAGAGAGCTATCCTTCATGAGGAAAAAAACGGTCTCTCTGTGAGATCAACAAAGGTCTAAATACTCACTGTGCCTGACATCTTATCCAGCTCGCTCATGGCTTCGTGGATAGCAGCTTCCAAGTGATTATTCAGTTTCCCCGGTCTGTTGGACATTTTACATTATTTACATTTCCAAAACCAAAAACACAAGAGCAAACATGTAAGGAATAGAGGGGGTCGACTGATTATCGGCCTGGCTGATTATCAGATCTGACATTCAGGCTAAAATGTGTAGTTTTACTTACTTCAGGCCTCTTTTGGCGGCTCGGTCAAGTGCCTCCAGGTCGTGAGTTAGTGTTTTTAGCTTCTCTGGCTCTACCTGTATGAAAAGCAGAGAAAACACCTGAGTACAGCCAAGACTGTTCAGCAGCAGAATGAGAATTTCCCACCAACCAAAATGATGCTGAATTTAGACTGTCATCAGTTTGTCACGTCTACAACTTAATTTCACAGTCATAAGTCAAACCTTTTCTGTTCTGAAGTTAGAATTTGGCAGGTAAAATGGTGTTTAGAGCATGTTGGCCTCTGTGGCCAGTGGACAAAATATCTCTTGTTTCCTTCTGACTTTTCAGAGTTGCAATAAATTTCCATCTGAGGAAAAATTGGTTACAGTCAAATACAACATATTCTCTCATCTTGACTTTCTGGCAAGCAACCATCTTACAGTGGAAAATAACTTGCTGTAATCCAAGACTCTACAGAACTTTTAATATGAATTTATAGGAAACATTTCTGGCTGCTAAGTTTGTAAAGTGCACCAGCCACTGAAATCTGCCGTTAGTCTTATTTAGTCAGAAATTTCAAATTGGCTGGTAAAATGATAAGACAGGTGGTCACAGACTGGTTTCTCACCTTGGCCTGCTCCCGCAACTGCATAGCAGCGCTGTGCACTTGTTCGTCCCCGGCCAGCTTGGCAGGCCAGGATGGAAAGCCCTTCAGCTGGCCCCAGACCAGCTCTCCCATGTTGAAGGTCCTGGACCGGTAGTGGAGCAGCTCTGACGAGGGAGAGTCAGGCTGCCGCAGGTCCTCCTCGCTGCTCAGGCTCTTTGTGTCCGAGGGGCTGGGCGCCATACCGTTGAAATGGCCGTTGTAGTGGCTGTAGTCTTTGGCTGTGGCCAGGGGACCCTCCAGGCTAGTGGAGGAACTGGGTGACTGGTCGTCCCCCGTCAGCTCCTGCCGTGGGGGGCCCAGGACTTCTCCGTAACCCCGAGTGTTAAAGTGAGGGGTGGCACCATTGATATGGGCGCAGCGTTCGACTGTCTGCTCCAGACGCTCCTTGTAGTTCGCAGGTGTCCGGCTGCAGTTGGTGAAGCGGTAGCCCTCGTCGAGAAAGGCCTTATCGTGGGCCATGGCCAGGCCATGATCGTTGGACCCCTCAGTGGGGCAGGGTGGGGCGGGAGCTAAGCTGGCGGGTCGCTCCATGCAAGGGCTACTCCTCACCTGGGTAGAACACTCCAGAAACTCCTCACCTCCCCAGGCGCTGTTGTTGCTGAGAGCGTCGAAACCTCCCCCATGCTGCGTCTCCCCGTCCCATTGCCCCCTGGGAGTCCCACGGCCAGGAGAACGGAAGTAGTCATTGGCGTCAGGGCCATCTGGAGTGCTTTTCCCTGGATCCATGTTCTTCTGACCCCGTCCTGGCCTCACCTGCCTCGGCCTGGTCTGCTGGGGTAACGCCTCCCCTTCCTGGTGCCCGTGCAGGACTGCACTAACTGCTTGGGGGAGGTTGACAGGCTCCCCTATGGAGGCAGTGAAGGCACTCATGGCGCTGAGGGCAGGCACCGGACTCGCCTGTGTGGTCCCGCTCACTGTGGTGGTTATGGTAACATGCATGCCCTTGCTGGCGGCGTCCACAACAGCTCTGTAGATGGCATCCACCGACTCCGGACCTCCACCGGGGCCCCTGTCAGAGCCAGGTGTACCCGCTGGAAGCCCCTCTCCCTGGGGCTGTTGCCCCTCCCCAAACTGTGAGTGAGGCAACATCCCCTGCTGTGGACACAACATCAAGGTCACAACATTATGAAAAATGCTTTTATGAAACTATCTGGAAAGATACAGAGATTAAAAGCTAACTCATCATCCCACCTGGTAGTTCTGGTAGAGGCAGGCCATAGAGCCAGCGTTGGCAATGTTGCTGTCTGTGTAGGGTGGGTTGTCAGGAAAGTGCTGCTGGCCCTGGTAGGCTGGGTGGGAGGCCACCCCCTGCTGCATGCCCTGGTGGACCTGCTGCTGGTACATCTGACCTGCGCCAGTGCTGACATGTGGCTGCAGGCCTCCCACACCACAGCCAAGGGATGACGGGTTTCCTGCAAAACCATTGGGACATACAAGTCAAAAGGATGTCACTGCTGCACCTCTGCACCTTTAAAACAGTGAAGCTGACATCAGAGAGCAAAGAAAAAAGCTGTCAGTGTCCCCTGTACCTGAAACTGCACAGAGGAAGGTCTGACATGCACTATTTCTATTTGGTATGACTACGCCTAGAATTCCAAAAACAATTATTTTTTGTCAATAAACCAATTCCAAATCAAAGTAGGACAGCGATGAGACCGTCCATAGACGGTCTCATCGCTGTCCTACTTTGATCCATTGCTGCAAGAAACTTATGCTTCGAATGACTTGAATCCATGGTTTCTCACAAGATGAGAATGAGTTTGTTTTGTTTTACTCCTTTGCTTAGTAGTACACTGTATGAAAATACAAAATGACTTATTCTTATTATTCTTAATCGTAGGTCGCCCAAATACATTCAAACTTTGGTAAACACTTTTCACACAGGTTTTTGAAAGGATTTACATCGCTGAGTGTGCATATGATGCAAAAAGATTTTTCAGAGACACAATTTAAAGACAGTTGTTCTTAACTCTGGTGTCATTGTACTTTTTTTTAGTGCTAATAGTCAATGAAGTACGTCTACTATTATCTGCTGAGCAGTTGGGTGGAATTTATACCTTTTCAGACCAGAATATGATCATGAGTTGCACATTAACAATCTGTTCAATCTGTTGCACCCACAACTAACAGATAGACATGCTGCTAGATTTGTGGTACAGACTGACTTGTTAGCAAAACACACAAAAACACAACATGAACAATATATATCAAGGCAACAAATGTATCAATGAATGGAGAGAAAACCCAGCAGCAATGTTATGCAGACAAAGCTGAAGCAGATACAAAATCTCTAAGGCCTAATGGTGTGTGTGTGTGTGTGTGTGTGTGTGTGTGTGTGTGTGTGTTTGTGTGTGTGTGTGGACAAGTGGCGACTGGAGCAGCTGGTGCGATGCTACGTAGCTGAAGGGCAGCTGTGTGTGTTCTCCATTTTTTTTTCTCTTCTCGTCTTTCTTCCCCTCTCCCTCCCCTCTAACGCTGAGAGCCACGACTCGGCCAACCCCTCCCCCCTACCTCCCCACATCCTCCGCTACTGCTATGATATAGTGACGGCTGTTGCCGAGGGAGGTTGCCATGGCTACCGGGTGATGATTGGTGGTGCTGTCTGCTGCCAGGAAGCTTGTTGGGGGAGTTGGGTGGGTGGATGAGGGGGGTTACGAGGGTCGGGTGGTGTGATTTTCGCCTGCTGGGGGATGGGGGGGCAGTCAGCTGGGTGGCAGGAGGTCTGGGGGGGTTTACAATGAACTTTGGAGTATTTGTTGATGGCAGGAGAGGGGGGGGGTTGTTCAAAGCTTGCTAGCTGTCTAGAAACAGATGCTTAGAGGCTAATGCTAAGAAGGCACTGACTAGGACACTTTCAAAGAGCTTTCAGCGCTCTTAAGATCCCTAACATGTCATCCAAATTAGCTTCAAGTACTGGGAAATCTACAGAGCTACTCACCAGCATAACATCTGCCATTTGGTGACAAAATATTCTTTCATCCCAAGAGCCTCTGATTGCTTGTTTTGCCACCAGGGACCCTGGACAGCTGACTTAACCTTCTTCAGGAGCTGAGTTGATTTAATTTGCTGTATTGGTCATCTGTGAGATTCTTAATGTTTTATTTATTTATTTATTTTAAAAAAAGAAAAAAGAAAGGAAGAAGCACCAATTAGTTTTGGGCCACTAGAGGGATTGCAGAGTAATGTTTTACTGACCAGATCCCCTAAATGTTTGTATCACCTGTTTTACAACCATGACACAAGGGTGTACATGAATGAACACATATATGGCACCAGTAGAGGCTGGTATCGGCTACTGGCAGTAATAATTACAATATAAATAACAGAGTAGGAGCAGCAGACAAGACAGGGCCTATGCAGGGTTATGTTTTTAAAATGAGGTAAGAAATCTATCCAACATGTTTGTAATAATATAGTTAATGATACTCTGCAACCGCTTTGATCTCCAAAAAAGTCAAAGTATTTAGCATATAATGTTTATAAAAAGGAGACAAGTGGGAGGTTTTCACAGGACGTATGCGGCAGATGTTTGGCATTTCACTTGATATGTGACTAAAAAAATTAACTGATGGAACAGAATACACATGGTTGTATATACTGCAAAGAGAAAAAAAACGCAGAAAAATAGATTAGCTAATAGATTGGCGACATAACCCTAAATAATAAAAACAGGCATGACATAAGCAACAGGAGGACACAACAGGTTGTCTCTCTTCCTCCTCAGAGTCGAACCCCATATGGTGTTGAGTCAGACGTGCCTGCATGTTGGTTCAGTTATGATGAAAATATAACACTGCCATGGCTGTATTTACAAACAGCTTTAGACACATCGATCTTTGTTTCATTTTTTAACTTATGAAATCCAAAATAAGGCCATAGCTTGAAATGAAGTAGGCAGGTGTTGCTTTAACAGGTGTGTCATTATTTTTCATGTTTTTTTTTAGTTTTACGTCACATAAATGAGGATATGGAATAGGTTTTCTCCCAGCGCTTTAGGCATCAAATGCAGAAAACTACAAACCTCAGATATGATGATTAAAATGATTGTTGCTGGAGTCACTATGACGATATCAAAAATGTAAATGTCAAAACTACAATTTGCAGTGACTTTTTTCTCCCTTTCCCACCTCCGCTGGCAACAACCGCCATGCTCTACCTCCTGACCCACACCAGACCACCTGAATTTCAATGACCTGACTTAGGAGAAATACAGAATAACAAGGCACCTGGTGATAAGAACAGGTGGCCTGCAGCAGACCTTGGTGTTATCTCCATTATAAACCATATGAGGACACACAGATGCATGATGAATACATAAACTCATAGCCCAGCCCCACAGCACACAGGGAAGGAAAGAAAAAATACGATCTAGGTCTTTTCAGTGCTTTTAAAACAAACACTAACATGAATGTGCGTAAACAGACACACACACACACAAAAAAAAAAAACCATAGTCACACACAAAGTTATTCATATGCACACAAATAAAACAGAAGAACACACACTGTAAAACACAAGTAGACATGCACACACAGTCATTCAATCACACACACAGGCCAAAACCCTCATCAAAGGCTTCACTCTGGTCTCTATTCAGGGTCCATCGTTACTATAGCGACCAGCTAGCTGGGAGAAGCTCTTAAGAGTGCCCTATCTGGGCTGCTTCCCTTAAAGCGTGATGCAGATCCCATTTCCATCTTCTTACACCATTGACTGATGCTAGCATACAAATAAAACAAAGGGAAACACTGGCTGACTGACAATTAGCTGAGCTTCCAAAGATGAGGGGCCTGCTCATTAGCTCAAAGATACTGGAGGAGCCAAACTGTCCAGGCTCAGGGCCTATCACCTAAATCCTAGTTTTGGGTCACCCATAACCATAGAAACCACATCTTTATCCAACCAGTGACTTATCACAAAGAAAAGAGGGGGACATCAACACCATCCTCCAGCCAGAGGATGGTCAATCTCATAATTCTTCTGATTATTTCTATTAGTGGGGCGACTGGGATTATCAAAGTTGCTGTTAAGTATTTAAATCTACCAGAGTAGATGTAACACAGGGTTAAAATAAGTGTTCATAAATATTATCCTTAACAATCTGACTTTTAGCGTCTGATGTCATACACTGCAATTCCAACATTTGATAAATCTAGATACAATTCAACCATCAAGACTAAAAAGATACACTACTGGTACTATAAAATGTATTTTAAATTGATTGTTGTGTCCATTTTGCTTAAAATTAAGATCCTATTAACCCTGATCAATTTGGTAAGATGACTAATGCTGAGTTTAGCAATAGCATTTTCAGCCCAATTAGCAGACCTGAGGTACTGTAGTGCTGCTGTCTCACCTGTATCAGAAATAGTCTGTGTACAGCTTCCATCACCACCTCCATGTGACATCACCACCATGTTAGTCCGCCCCATACTGTGAAGGAGGTTCTGTTGTGATGGATGAGGTCCAGGATGGGATAGCGGTGGGGGGTTTGTGTTGGGGCGTCCCAGTGGCATGCCATCAGGGCCCACCGGTCCACCGCCTGGCCCCATAGGCCCACAGTTACTCATGGAGGAAGCCTGCATTGGGGCCATCATGTCAGGGAACTGGCCTGGACGAGAACCCAGATGGCCCCCAGACGTGTCCATGTTCTGGCAGTGCTGCATGGCATCTCCTGGACCCCGCAGCCTCTGCTGGGCAAGGAGGCTCTGCTGAGGGCCACCAGGGACTATGCCTGTGCTGTCGTTGTAGTGCAGCTGTGCAGCTCCTTGAGGACCCTGCCCTGGACCAGGGCTAAGACCTGGACGATGGCTGTTCCCAGCCAGGTTGTGGGAGCTCTGGCAGCTCATGGACTGGAGAAGCTGGGCCATGGAGGTGTTTGGGGGAAGGTTTCCAAGTCGGCCCACTTTTCGCAGCTGCTCAGTCGCACTGGGCCCTGGCATGTGGGGTCCTCCCATGCCTGATTTGTTAAGCATGTTGTAGACCATGTTGTTACTGTTGTCATGGTTTACAGCTGCGCTGCCTGACGACTGCTTCCGTTTGCGCATGGGGTCCCTCTGCTGGGCCATGAGCTTGTCTCTAAGAGCTGCCCGACCACTCTGGCCCTCAGGAGTGTTGAGCAGCATGGTGGAGTTTGGCGGGAGCATGGGGTTTAAAGTGCTGTGTCCCTCCATGCCTCGAGGGCCACTCATAGGGCCAGGATGCCCACCACCCCCACCATTACCTCCGCCACCTGCCCCCATGCCTGCCATACCAACTCCACCACCAGTCATGCCAGCAGTGCTGTTGCCAGCAGCGCTGAGTTTGTTTTGATTTGCTAGCTGTGCTTTGGCTGCAGCTGACAAGAGACTGCTGGCGGGGAAGGAGGCGGCATTCTGTTGGCTGAGGATCTGGTTGAGGGGCATCCCCAGGAGTCCTGGGTGGCCCTTCTGGGAAGCGCTGGGGGTCACCAGAGAAGAGGTTGACGAGGAGGACGAGGTGGGTGAGTACATGGGGTTGCCGTGCTGCTGGGTGCCAATCGAGTTTCCCATCCCGGGCAGCAGCTGGGAGTCTTTGTACTGGTGGAGTGGGTCTGTTTTGTTGGTGGAGGGGCTGGAGGGCATGGCTGGCCTGGGAGATCCCATAGCTGACCTGGGGGAACGAGGAGGAACCTTCATGGTGCCACAAGGGCCCTGGTGCCCAGAGGGCATTGCAAAGTTCCCATGATCAGAGGAGGTGGAGGATGAGCGTGAGCGATGAGGGGAGGCCTCAACTCTCCCAAGGGCAGGCCCGGCCATGTGGACAGGGGAAGTGACAGGGGAGGGGGACATGGAGGAAGCTGGACCACCCTGTTGAGTCCTCTGAACATGGCCACCATGCCCCACAGGCCCAGGCTTCACTGTGGGTAAAGGTAAGTTGCTTGGCAAGGGAACAATGGCGGGAGGGGGTATGTTTACATTCATCATTGGTACCTGAGAGTGGATGTTAGGCTGGAAGTTGGAGGGGTTTGGGGCGTTGGTGGGGGGCTGGCTGACTGGTTTGCTGGGGATAGGGTCCAGGATGCCTAAGGGATCTTTTTCAGAGGTCAACTGCCTTTTCTGAAGGGCACAGGAGGGTGGTATGGATGGAGGGGGCGGCACGGGGTGCACAGGGGGCTGTGTTTTATGGTGAAATGCTGCACGGGGCATATCCACACCAGGGGGGAAGTTCCCCCGTGGCATGTTCATGTTCATGACAGGGCTTTTGGCAGTGGCCGTTGGGGAGAGGGGCGTGCTAGTCCTCCCTGTCATGGCACAGGATGGCTGGCCCGCAGGGGAGCCATGGAGCATCACGCTGGGTGGGGAAAGAGGCGTCCTAGTATTCCCATGGATGGAGGCTGAGCCGGGACTGCCAGCTCCTGGAAAACCACAAGGATTGGTCCTTGGGAACCCCTCAGGGCTGCCCAGAGTGTCTGCACTGGGAGACTGTGAGCCATCTCCATACAGCTTAGCACTGGAGGGAGGTGGGCTCAGCATGCCTCCATACCCAGCCCGGTAAGGGGATTTGGGGCCTGGCTCCACACTGCCCAGCCTCTGTGGCCTCGTATACCCAGAGTAGATCTCGGACTGCTGGGCTCCACCCATCTCCTGGGGTGGATACAGCCTCTGCTGCTGTTGTCCAGCTGCCATCATCATCTTGAAAGGACTCTTGCAGTCGGGAACAACAGCATTGGGCGGAACATCGTGGGGTTTAGTCCTTATTGCTCGTTGAGTCATGGAGTGCGCAGCAACCACAGATGATGTACCTGCCAAACAAAGCACATTTGAGTTAAATCCACATAAACACCTTGGACAAAATGTCAGAAAAGCCATTATGTATAGTGGCCACAGTGGCTGGCAACCCATAAAAATGACAACTGAGAAGAAATAAAACATTTAACCACCTACATTTGGCTGGTTGCTGGTGTTTCATTCAGCAGAAACACATACTAAGTTACTGCAGATAGGAACACCAGCCACCGGCTTACCTCTGCATGTTTTACTTGGTGTGTCTGAGGCAGGCCATCAAATGAAAACATTGATTTTTGAGTTGAAACAATTGTTATTTATATGTGCTCGTACCTCCCCCTGGACTGGTCAGCGTCAGAGGTGGGTGTGTCTCCATGCTCTTGTGCAGCGTGGCCACGGCCAGAAGCTTCCTCTTGTGAATGCAGAGTTTGGTGACGTCTTCATCTGCTTTCACATCCTCCGCTGTCCTCTGCTTGACCGCTGCCCCTGGGTCGAAGTTGAACACCTGAAAATGCATTAACAACAATAAATTCACAGTTACAATGTCATTGTTTTCTTTGCATTTGTTTTGGATACTATCTAATACTGTTGTCATGTACTCCGAGCCAGATGAATGAAAAGACCAGACTATAATTCATGGCATATGACCAATCAGTCAGAACGGTGATGCTCATACAAATCTTGCAATATCTTCATGTTTCATTCTTTCTTGATGTTTTAAATTAGATTTCTACAGGGTAAAAGAAAAGTGACCATGGTCCAATTATGTTTTTCAGATCCATGACTTCATGTCAATGCACCAAACTCTTCAATTCATGGTTTCCAGAAGTCAAAATCTCCAATCATATATGAAGATACCTGTTTAAATGATCCATTCAGATGGTCAAAATACATACAGATGGATGGATTCAGTTGGATACAATTGTTACGCTTCTTTTTGAGAGTGCAAGTGGTACACAAGGCTTTTGGGACAATCATAATTTATTCAAGTGAAAGGTGGGATATCCAGTGATCATGAAATCAAAGATAACAGTAAGCTGATTATCATGGGTTTGTGGCTAATCCGAGGACTTACAGGGATGCTGACGACTTCATGGTGCCATGTCAATATGCAGCAGCTCACCCTTGAATATCATGTCAATTACAGCCAGGTGTTAGCTAAGAATTGTACACACACTTTATGTCTCAGAGCAGCAGAGAATCAAATCTTACGTTTTCATGTCAGTGTCACAGAAAGCGTCACATATACAGCGAGAAATGAACCATAACAACCACAACATCAAATTGATGTTTGGAAATGTTTTTAATCACCATTCTTGGTCGGCCGACACTCTAAGGAGCATGTAGAGGAGTGTACGGAGGAGAATGTTTAAGGATTGGTGGGGTTTATATTTGCTTAATTAAAACATCAATAATAGAGCAGAGAAGCCAACGTTTTCACAGATGAGAGGATATCAGCCTGATTGGACAGACAGGGTGTGTTGGGGACAAATTTAGCTTCAAGAAGGATAATCGGTCGGATTACTCCATGTAATGTGATACAGTGGATGCTTCAGAGCACCCCGACATTTGTAGATTGGTCCTTCACAGAGATCAGCGGAAGTGGTCAGTGTGAATTTATTTCAAACGTCCTGAGCATATGAAACGGCAGCAGAGAAGTGGATTATGCTTCAGGAAGTGGTTTGAGAGCTTTCTATGGGCATTTTAATACTTTTTTTTCCACTGTGAAAACTGGTCACTATTGGAATTCATTGAAACACACATTAACTCAAGCGGACCTCATCCACCAGACTCCGTGAAGGACAAAAGTCCAAAATTTTTACAGCCACCTTTCAAGCTGACAGCGGTGACTTTTTGATACTCAAAAGACCATTTCCACACAAACAAAAGCCCCACTTTAACAATAGCCTGTCAGAAGTTGTTTTCACCTTGGTTTGACTAGAGTGACACAATTTCCTCCTCACAGACATGTTTACTTCCTTCTCCATCTCCTTCCCTCCTTTCCTGCTGCAGTCATGAATGTCAAATACGTAATGTGTTCTATCTTGAGGCCAAGACACGTCAACAGCTGATTGTCTGCTCTGAATTAAAATATCATGTAGTTTAAAGAGCCATTTAGCTAACACTTATTCTCTGTGACTTTGAGCAAGTACATATTTCTTGATCACCGACATCATCACATCTGCCCTGGATGTCAGTCACTTTTTTTTTTTTTACAAGCAATTACTAAATGCAACAGTCAAGTGGCATTTAATTCCTGCAAAATAAATTAAATATCAAAATTAACAAACCTTAAAATTGCAAAAGGCTTATGGAATGTTAAATTAAATGTTTTCCCATCTGTGTTAAAGGTATGAAACGTAGTCGGCACAATACGACAGAGTGGCCAAAACCCCTGCACAAGCAATCATGCAGTATCTTCACTGACCTTTACTTCTCCTCCAAAAGTAAATGTGAGAAAATGTACTAAAGAACTAAAATATTCTTCTTACAATGTGACTGTAAAGACCTGACAAAGCACACATGACCCCACAAACTAAACCAAAATCCTGCTCAACACAGTCTGCTAATGCACACTTAAAATGATGTGGGGTTCACATCGTTCCCTTTTTCTGTCACTGTTACCCTCCAGTGAACAGATGATTAATAAAGCTTGTTATAAAAACAATGACCAACATGTCACATACACAAAGGCCACCTGCTCATGCACATTTAGATACGATTGTTTTTAATCCATTTGGGGGCCTCGTTGAGCTGGAATTTTTTGGACAACAGCATCTTAATTTCATTTGCAGATTGTGACCTCCACCTTCATCTTTAATTACGTTGTATTCTGGAGTCAAGTTCAAAAGGCAGCTGTAAAATCAAAAAAACAAAACATTACCTTGTGGAGGATGAGTGGGCACTCCAGGCCGCATTTGCAGGTTCCATCTGTCAGCAGGTAGGTCTTCACCTGCTCCAAGCTGGACAGCACTGAGCCGCTGGGACTGCACACAGAAAACAACATTAGGCCGAGGGCAGACTTCAGCTGGTGTAGCTCCAGAGCACAAATGCTCCGATGATATCACATGTGGCAGCACTTATTTGCGTTGTTTGAAATAGGTTGTTGAATATCATGAAATATTTCTGAAGTGACGTTCCTGATAATCAATAATATTTTGCATTTAACTGAACATTTTTATGTGAAATAGTGTGCATTATGTGTGCTCCCACCACAATTTCATTCCTGACTCACAAGAAGAAAACAAACCATTGATGCTCCACTGACAGGCGTAGCATGTTTACAGGCCTGCAACCATGAAATTACACAGTTATCCATATGAATTAAAAACATTTTCAGTACCTGTGAAGCAGAAGACGTCTGTACCATATTGGCAGCGGACAACAGCGACTGAACAGCATTTTGAATAAAAAGTCCAAACTCGTCCAGTTCATCAGAAGATCAATTCATCACTCTAACACTAGCACTAATGAATGTTTAAATATGGAGGCAGCCAGTAGTTAATCTAACTCTCAGCTTGGACATCAGTCAGTGCCATTCATTGTTATTCATACATTTTATATTATTTGTCCCTTTGGTTGAACCCTGTTGTTTTAAATGTGCTAAATAAATAAACCTGATTTAATTTGATTTTGATACAGCAAGAAAATTATCCCTCAACTTCTCCAACCGTTTTTCCTTTCCCATGCAAGTGAATGAGAAAGTGGTCTCAGACTTTTGGACTCCACTGTGTGTCATTATGGTTTCCACATAATAGACAAATCTGGGGTTTCTTCTTTTTGCCCAATCAGGGTAAAACTATTGAAAGACTAAAGATAAAAATTAGAAAAGTGATCGGGAGGTCACAGCTGCAGGAAAGAACCCATGAGAAATGAAAAACAATGTGCCCAAAAAAGTTGGGAAAACCTGACAAATACCTCCTGTAAAACATTTAAAACTTGCCACCAATGAAAGAAGCACACTGTGTACCATTGGTTTCTATCAAACACATAGCACTGATGAGTTGACAAAACAACCAGTGACTGAATCATCAGTCACAGCTGCTGTGAAAATATCTGCTGTGCAGATCTGTAACTGCACATCCCTGAAGCAAACGCACATTTTAAATGTTAAGAATATGAGCAAATACAAGTGTGTGGTGACAGTATCAGGCCACGGTCACAGAAGTAGACAGGATTCTTTCCAACACCCAAAATAAACCTGACACCAGCCAACTGCTTTAGTTCATTGTGGCTGGTAAATACACGTGCTAGTGTTCATATATCGGGAAGGACACCAACTTCCAGTCTACATGACACAGTGACTGTCACAGGGTCCAACTCATTAGTCAAATCTGGTTTCTTTAAGGAGCCAATGGGTTTGTGAAATTTGTCAACCACATCCAAAATTTACCAAAATTTATTTTCGCGTCTTAAGAAAACATGTGGGTTGCCCTTCACCTGTTGAGGGACGGCATACTGTGATGACAGCAGTACAGAGTAACCATGACTCCTCACAGTGAGCAATGGCATCAAAAACACAGCCACCATGTTTCTGTCCATCTCCTGCAGAGCCAATCAATTAGAAGAACTTTATCCATGTGTAGCAAGTAAACAAACCTATTGGTGCTCTTTGATTTGAAAGGAATGGACACCAAAAGCTGACGTTTACCATAAATATATCAGAGCAATGAAATTTGTACTATTGAACTGACCAGTTATTGGCCACACTGGAGATGAAACAGTTAATTCAAAATATTTTACGTTGTTATGCGACAATGTAATTCTGGATGCTCGGATGTGAGGATTTGCTTCTGTTCTGTTTTATAACAATGTAAATGGACTATTGTTGAATTTTGGACTGTTGTTTGGTGCAAAGTGAGCGTTCTGAAGATGTGAAGATGGAGCAAAACTTCAAACTTTTTAAATTACATTTAATGCAATGGGCATTGTTGGCATGACCATATTCAGGTTCAGTACTGCCAAAAAATTTGTCAAAATTCTGTCTGATTTCCTAATTTTCTTGGTCAAATGACATTTTGTGGACCAAATCATAACTTGAAAATAATCATTGATCATTTCAGCCATATCATACTCTTGAAGAAATTTGAACAATCCAACAATCAAAATGAGTCCAGAAACAAAACCTTCAGTCTCTATAATAGTTTTTTAGATTTTTAAAATCAGTTTTGCAATTTTCTTTTCTCTTCAACTTCAAATTATGAAGGACAATGCTGGTGCTACAAAGCTTGTTTTTCTGGGGTAAGTGCCCAGAACTGACAAAATTATGGTGACCTTCTGTTCAGAACAGTGAACAGTGTTTTGAAATTTATCTCCCCTGATAGATTTGTCTCAAGTAGCACACTTGTCTGGTGTCCGACCTCTGATGGATGAATTCTTCTTACCTTATGTATATGACCCCTCTGCTGTGCTCCGCCTTGCGCTGCCAGCCAATGGGGACCTGGACAGGGACGGCCTGCCTCTCATCTCCCGCCTCACAGTCCTTTCCGCCATTCATTGCTCCACTGGTTTTACGCTCGACACCTCAGAGGTATATATATCAGACATCAACCAGTGTCTTCGCAATGCACGTCATGTTCGTCTTCCAAAGCCGTGGTGGAGGTGGTGGAGGGAGGGTTGAGGAGATGGGTAGGGATGCAGGATTATGCTTCAACGTGGGACTCCCCTCTCAGGTGGAGTTGAATGGGGTGGTGGATGAGTGGGTGGTCGGGTAGGGTGAGGCAAGCTCACAGCAAACCCTACCCTTTGAGCTGCTTCATGGCTACAGTGCTGAATTGCACGTAGACTTCCATTACTGCATCTTGTCGTTCAGAGCCATCCAACCCAGGAAGATGCTGGCTGAAAAGGAGAGGATGAGGATTTGGTGTGCACTGTGCTTTCACGGGGAAGTCCTTTATTACTAGTTTTTCACCATTTGTCTTCTGCCGCCCAGAATACCGTCAGACAAGTAGAATATGTTCAACATATTGGTTCCCAAACGCAGTTGGGTAGTGGTATTCCCATGGTTCCTGTGAGGGCAGAACAAGAATGTTAAATCCATAATTTAATCTGCTTTTATTTACAATCAATTATTTCCATTATCTTGAAAGGAAACTGCAAAATTATTGCTTGAAAAGGTGTTTTTAAATGTTTCGCCACAATGACCAAGACGGCAACCTTTAGACTCAATAAAAATGAAACCCCTTCTATCTATCTAGTCTTGATACTGGTCAATCTTTTGCTGGCCACCACACATTCTGACAATTACATTGACTTGACTGAATCAAGCCACTGCTTAGCTGCTTGTTCTGCCACTCCACACAATGAGGCCAGCATTATTCCTATGAAAGATGTCCTTTTATTTTAAATAAAACCATTTGTTATAGGCTACTAATGTTAAAATAGTGTTAAAGGTGTGGTGGGAAATATGTAGAGCTGCAAAAAAAAAAAACAGAACCGATTGGCAGATTAATCAATAATGAAAATAACTGTTGGTTAATTAGTTGCCCTGATCATGAGGATTTTTTTCCTGGATGGTCTATAACACAGGTTGGCTTTCAAATGCAAAAGCATGTAAAAAAAAAAAAAAAAAATTCAGCCTGTCAAAATTGACAATATTGCAATTTCAAGTATATTTTTAAATTTTTATATCTTCTAGGATGTTATAATTAGGTTTTTCTGTCTTAATTATAATCCAAGTCCTTTAATGCTGTATTGTAAATGACATTTATGCTTTCCTACAGATAGGATCCACTATTCCAGTATCTGCTCCAATAATGACCTGATTAAGAAGATCATCTATTGTGATAGACGTGATCTATATATCTATCATGATAAGACCAATTCACATAAAATGTATCTTTTTCATCAATGTCATTATACATCATAGTCACAAGGAGCCACAGACTCAGTTTTGTAGTGCCAGGGTCAACTGTGTGTAGGGATGGGTGCCAACAGCCAGTTCCATTTTGGATCCAGTTGCAAATTGATAAAAATACCTGGATTTGTTAAGCTTTGCAGCCTATCAATCACTTATTGAATTTTTCATTTGTACCCTCTGTCTGACACTATAGGCATTGGTAAAGAAAAAATAAAAGACCAAAATATATAAACGCACAATAACTCAGCGACTCTGTTGTTTACAGCAAACATGGCAGACTGGCTTGAACGTGTCCAAGTCAATGAAACTACAGAATCTAATATTTGTGGGAGAAATGCAAATCCTTTGTTTATTTATCATCCAACATGTTAAAGTAAGAACCAAACAAACGACAAAAAAGGATTCGAAAAGCAGATTTGGAACAGGATTCATTCTATAAAATGCCATGGAACCCCATCCCATAACTATATGGATCTCAGCTGATATCCAATCATCTTAATAAGGTCAGTAGAAGACCTGATACCAATCCAGTGTGTTGGACAGGTAGAAGTATATAAAATCCAATTTAAAAAAGACACGTCTGGTGAAGATATTAATTCAGCCTGTCGCCTGGTGTCTGTTTGTCCATGGTACTCTGCAGTTCAGGTGCTCATAATGCTTAGAGTGTTTATTTTACAATAAACTAAGAACTGAAAACTGGAACAGGACTTGGCCAACAGGTCTCAGAAAATGCCTTGATTAGTCCCAAATTGCAATTCTACAGATCTGCTCAGGATATCCCCTCTTATATCTTTTTATTTTATGGTACAAATATTGCAGGTTTACAATAAAACTTGTTACACACTATGACTGTCATATAGAAATGTTGTCTAATGAAAAGATGACAAAAAAAAAAACGTTACTGGCAGTTTCCCTCTCTCAGAAAATGATTTCAGTAGAAGCCCATCAAAGCTGGTAAATCAGGATGAATTCAGTGAGTGATGGAGATCCATGTAAAGCCTCCTCTCAGCCGCCAGTGCTGCTGACTCATAACTGCCCTGTGAGCTGCTGAGACCAAACCCAGCGACACCACCACCAGAGGAAGAGAGGCGAGGGGGGTACTGCTCACCGTGGCACAGTAAAATGAAGCAGCAGTTATACGTATACTGTTCATCTGGAAATACGCAGCTGCATCAGTCACACCTCTTCATCTCAGGAGGTGTGTTAGTCCTATGTGAGAAACCACCACATCATTAAAATCTCATTTCCCACAACTCCATGTTTGGAACATGCAGAGGTAACAGAGAAAAAATAATTTCTATTGTTGTATTCACACTAGAGGAACAAACTAATTATTTTCCCAACAAGTGCTTAGTGCAGCGTTGGATGTCTGTGGCTGTGACAAATATCTCATCTCTATCTTTAAGATTTCTATTCGTTATTTTGTCTCTTTTTTTGGTTGTATCAGAAAGAAAAAGATGAAGGATGGTAGAGAGGGGAGTGAGGTACAACATTTCTACATTACAACCTTTGGCAAACCCTTTACTCCCTGAATGTGCCACTGTGCTAATGTGAAAGCATGAATTAAAGCTCAACTTTTACTATTTTTCTGCTCATCTCTCCACGCCATTTCCTGACTCATGACTCAACAATTACCGTGTCCAAATTACATACGGTACTTACTAATCTCCAACCTTTTACAGCAGGCTGATCTTTTTTTAAGATTGCGCTTTTGCCCTTTTCGCATTTACTGTTCACAGCAATGAGACAGAGACAAACAGGCGCAAGGAGGACAGACAGAGGAGCAGAGGGGTGGTCAAACTCAGGACAATGTGGACACAAAAATCTACCCGAAATGCAGCGTGAATTCAATTATTTCTGCACTGGAAACATCTTAAGGTGGATTTTTTTTTCATTTAAGACAGCCTAGGCTTTGTTAGGTTGCTTTGCAGCTTGCAGCTATGAAGGTAGACCAGCTAAAACTGTATTTTTAGTTGTGCATTAACAGGTTACAACATAGATTTGCCTACATACGTAGAAGGGATCGTAGTTGATGCACATCCTCAAAGATGTAACTACATATTCAGGAGATACCACATTGGAGACACCAGAACTGTGATTTGCAAGCTTGGGATGCTCATGCAAGTTTCTGATGCCAAACAAAACATAAGTTTCAGTCCCACAAACCTACAAAAGTGAAAACCCTCTGCTCACCATGACTGCCGCTCACAATCTCAGTAAAAGGAAGAATGTAAACACAGTGACGACACTGGAGTATTCATCTATTCAGTCATGAAAGAAGCTGAGTGCAAGCAACCGAGATGTAACTCCAGTTTGGTGCATAGCCCACCATTGCTCCATATTGCAAAGTGAATGAAAAATATAACTAAAGCACAACGTGGCATGATCATGTACGATAAACCTGTCAAGTGCTGCAGGGGTTCCATCAATGTGTGAACTCCAACGCTGAAACTATAAATCAAAAGCTATGCCATCAGTCTCTCTTCAAATGAAATGCATATATCCTCTTTATCAATAAAATTGGACTTGGACGCAATACAACAAATACCCTGGCTATTGGTGAACTGGAGAATCTATAGCTTGTGGACTTTTTGGCTGATCAAAAGCTGACATATTCAAGCCTCATCAGGCCACAAAGCATCAAATATCATGCAAATTGTGCGTTAATTGTGTGGCACCAGCAATATGAAACTTGATTAACTGACAGTCTGTTCCTTTACCATTTGCTACAAAGAATTAAACAAGTCGCATGCAGAGCTCCACTGCAGCTTTTCAAGAGACAATGAGCAGGTATGTTAAAGGCTTTGTAATGAAGTAGTATACTGCTGTTAAGTGCATTTCTTATGCAGATCAGTACGTTCAGGACGTTGGCAAGAGCAGGTTGAAAACAATAAAGACATTTTGACTATCTATAGAAGGCTTAGGTCCAACAATCCTTAAAGTGAACTTAACACATCTTCAGAATTATTACCAATAGCAATTTTGAAGACACATCATATAGAAAGGGACGTACATGATCAACAGACACATTCTTTTTAAAGCTTGATGAGTCCACATCACTAACACAATACGCACTTGTGGATCATGTATGAGTTAGGTTAGGTGCCAAGAAGGCATAACAGCAATTAGAGGAGATATGATAATTTTAAGGCACTGTGCAATCACTGCTAAATAAAGAAGGGAAATATTGAAATGTCATCAATTATTGTGCAGTAGTTGAACACGTTTTCAGTCCCTGTGTAGCATTTGGTGCTAAAGCCTGAAGATACCTGTGACAGAGGGAATGCATGTGCTTGTTATTTCAGTGTCACTTTTTTTTTTAAATCACCTGATCACATCAGCAATTGATCTGGCTGTGTCAAAAAGAGAGAGAAAAAAGGATTTGCTCAGAATTTGGCTCAGAAATAAATGTGGAAGTGGATCCTGAATTTAATCCTATAATAAAATGCCCCCACCCCGTCCTCATTTTGTCCTCCATCACAAACGATGTTGGGGAGAAATGCCCTTAATAAATGACAAAAGAGAGTAATGTGGAGCCCGACAACGTCACTGCAGAGTCACTGATGTCTGTGATTTGAGACAAGACTGCAAAAATGGTGTGAGTGTCATACATTTTGTGGCACCTAGGAAGATAAATCTGATCTA